TTTAAAGCATTATCCTGACGAGGACGCGAATGGTGTATGGTGTGGTATATTCTAGTGATGGTGGGGGTGGTGGTGGTGGTGGTGGTGCGGTGGTGCAGGTTATGTCATTTGCCACCTTTGAAGAATGTATTTATAACCGAAAAGACATTGTCAGAGGCGGGCTAACGAGGTCGTCGGTGGGGGCAGGATAATGGATAAAGGTGGACGGTTGTTGGTTTGATGGAATGATGGGAGGATGGTGGATGGGTTGGCGGGTCATGCGACGGTGGGTAATGCGTTCTGAGCGTGAACCGTTAGTTGACCACGCACACTAGCGGGTATTACTTATTTTTATCATCTTCTTCCTTCCACCAGCACGTGCAACACACACACACCTGCCCTCCCTTTTATACAATATATATTATATAGTTTTTGTTCCTTTTTTCCTTTTATTTTTATACATTTTATTTGCGTGTGTGTGTCGTAATTGGCAGCCTGCATCGCAGCCAACTGATGACATCAGAGAGTTGCCAAGTGGCCTGCGTGCCAGTGTGTGTGTTGGTGTTTAATACAAATATACAAATCCTCATACATATACATATAGTATATATGTATTTGTCCGGCCAATGCTCCAAATTTCATGTACATACTACGCAATGACCAACTTCGACGTTGACACACTAAATTTATTTTATTGCCCCTCGTTTTGGCCAAAAACCAAAAATTTGCATGCCCACACACAAACACACACACACACGCACACAAACTGGAACATAAAAATGCCATTAGAAATGGTGGCCGCTTTTCAAAAGACCGCGCCATTTGTCAAACAGTGCTGCCATGTAGTGGCAGTGCTGCCCAGCAAGAAGAAACAGATACCATGGCGGCTTCCGGTGCCTTTCTGGCTTTCTTTGGGTCATTAACCTTTTAATATCTTTTGTTTTCTACTAAAAATGTAAACAACCTAATTAATTTGGCAAGTTTTCAAGTCTTTTCTTTTGTTTCTTTAAATTAAATCCATCTTCAAAATAGCTAGGACCTTAAGATGCAATTTTTGTTGCATACTTTTCGTCTGTTTCCCTTATGTTTGAAGGACCAAATGATCAAATGTTATACCTTTCCGATCATAGATCTTCAAGTACCAGTAATTTCCAGAAAATCTGCCATACAAAAAAAGGAGCACTTTATTTCAAGAATGCTTTTTATCTAAAAATTGGGCCACATTTATTAACTGGCTTTTATGATCCTCCAATGCAGATTAAAGCGCATTAGAGGTCTGATTCATGAATGGTATTCCGATCGGTTGTGAAATAGTAAAGATACTAATAATAGTTCCAATGTTTATGCTTTTATGATGGAAATATGTGGATAACTCCTATGATACTTTATAGATCCAGAAATGTATCACCCACCCAATCAAAATCTAGCAACAAAAATTGTACACATTTTCCAAAAATCACACAAAAATTTAAATTTTTGTATTTTGCGCATCTTTTGATGCAGATCGATAGAGTTTAGGTCCCTGATTCAAAAATGGTATTCAGTTTCTGAATCGTTTCTGAAAATATGTTCTAAAAACAAACTTAAAAGCTTAAACGTTTTTTAAATAAAGAATTATTACAAATTATGTTTCAATTTTGAACTTTTCTTAATGGAAAAACATTTATAACTTGGCTAATACTTGCCAGATCAAGTATTTATTATACTATTTTAGAACTTCGAGTACCATTATTTTCAATCAAAAACCTGGAAAAAGAAGCTTGGACTTCCAAAGGATTTTTGGATGCAGACCAGTGGCGGATTTAACAGGTGGGCAAAGGCGCGCTTGCCCACTGGGCCCCCCCGACGAAAGGCTTTCAGGGCCCCTTGTGCTGAAAGTTACACCTTCGATTTCTTTTCCACAATTCTGCATCAAAATCTGGGAACAAAATATTTTTAAGATTTTTTGTCAAATTTTCTGGGCTGTCCCCTTCTAAATGTGCAGAATGCATGGGGAGCCCCATATGACCCACTGCGAAGGCCATATCTTAGGAAATATTCATCCGATTCTTGAACGGAATACCTTAAACGATTTGTGGATCGATTCTCCATAAATCTGCATCAAAATCTGGGAACAAAATATTTTTAAGATTTTTTGTCAAATTTTCTGGGCTGTCCCCTTCTAAATGTGCAGAATGCATGGGGAGCCCCATATGACCCACTGCGAAGGCCATATCTTAGGAAATATTCATCCGATTCTTGAACGGAATACCTTAAACGATTTGTGGATCGATTCTCCATAAATCTGCATCAAAATCTGGGAACAAAATATTTTTAAGATATTTTGTCAAATTTTCTGGGCTGTCCCCTTCAAAATGTGCAAAATGCATGAGGAGCCCCGTATGACCCACTGCGAAGGCCATATCTTAGGAAATATTCATCCGATTCTTGAACGGAATACCTTAAACGATTTGTGGATCGATTCTCCATAAATCTGCATCAAAATCTGGGAACAAAATATTTTTAAGATATTTTGTCAAATTTTCTGGGCTGTCCCCTTCAAAATGTGCAGAATGCATGGGGAGCCCCATATGACCCACTGCGAAGGCCATATCTTAGGAAATATTCATCCGATTCTTGAACGGAATACCTTAAACGATTTGTGGATTGATTCTCCATAAATGTGCATCAAAATCTGGGAACAAAATGTTTTTAAGATTTTTTGCCAAATTTTCTGGGCTGTCCCCTTCAAAATGTGCAGAATGCATGGGGAGCCCCATATGACCCACTGCGAAGGCCATATCTTAGGAAATATTCATCCGATTCTTGAACGGAATACCTTAAACGATTTGTGGATCGATTCTTCATAAATCTGCATCAAAATCTGGGAACAAAATATTTTTAAGATATTTTGTCCAATTTTCTGGGCTGTCCCCTTCAAAATGTGCAAAATGCATGAGGAGCCCCGTATGACCCACTGCGAAGGCCATATCTTAGGAAATATTCATCCGATTCTTGAACGGAATACCTTAAACGATTTGTGGATCGATTCTCCATAAATCTGCATCAAAATCTGGGAACAAAATATTTTTAAGATATTTTGTCAAATTTTCTGGGCTGTCCCCTTCAAAATGTGCAAAATGCATGAGGAGCCCCGTATGACCCACTGCGAAGGCCATATCTTAGGAAATATTCATCCGATTCTTGAACGGAATACCTTAAACGATTTGTGGATCGATTCTTCATAAATCTGCATCAAAATCTGGGAACAAAATATTTTTAAGATATTTTGTCCAATTTTCTGGGCTGTCCCCTTCTAAATACCCTTCAATGTACCCTGATAAAATTTTGCCCACTGGGCCTTTTTCCTTAAATCCGCCACTGATGCAGACCGAAGGGGAATTAAGCTCCGATTCATTAATGGTTTAATGATATTTAATAAAAAGACTATGAAATGATTCCAAAAACAAGGTTCCAATTTATTCAATTTTCGTGAGAAAAAAATGTGACTTCTCGCAAGTACCAGATATGGTATACCTTCCCTATCTTGGAACTTGGAGCACTATATTAGTATCATATTAGTTTAATCAAACCCCCCTAAAAATACTAACATTCATAAAGAAAGGGTGTTGAAAATGGAAACTATTTAATACTATTCAAAAATACTCAAAGTTGATACAATTATTCGAAAAAACACTCTATAAAACCGATAAAACCGATATAAAACCACTGATAAAACCTCAAAGAAAGTTGCTTCTATTTTTGTATTATAATTTCTTTTATTTATTTATTTATTTAGTTATGTGTATATATATGTATATATACGTATCGTACAAAATGTTCAAACAACAAAAAATATATATATTTTTATATGCATGTCTATATATATTCGTTATAATGTTGTGTCTATGTTGGTTGTATGGATTGTGAGTTTTGTTTATCGTTCGTTTGTCGTTTACTTAATTAAACATTGTTTGTTTGTTGTTTTGTTGTCTGTTGATTTGACTTTGATTTATTAATATTAATTTGTTTGTTATGTAAGTTACATGAAGTTTTAGCTCTTTAGCGTTTCTTTGCGATTTTTGCTGGTGTTGTTCTTGTTATTATTATTATTATTGGTAATTGGTAAAAATTGTTTTACGATTGTTTGCTAATTTTGGTTAGTTTTTTTTGTTTACTCATTTTTCTTATTTTTTTGTTATAATTTTTTCCATTTTTTGCGAATTTATTGCGGTTGCTAAGAGTAGAATTGCTATTTATTCTTGGCTTACTCGATCAGTTTCGTCATTAATCATAGGCGTATATTTATTTTATTCACTTTTGTGTATATATAGATTTCTTTTATTTCTCGTCAGTTATGATGTAAGTTCTTTAATGCCTAACTCTTGCTTTGTATAAATTCTCCATTTTATATATTATATTTTAATCGTAATTTAAACAATTCTTTGTCTTTATGGGCGTTTTAAAATGCATATCAAAGTTCTTAATTAGTTTTAGAGCAGCATTTAAGTAAGTTACAACTCGATCATATATAATATATATATATATATACTTTTTTTTATTAACTTTTTTTTTTTTACCTTTTGAGGAGAGTTACAAATATATGGTTTTGTTTATTTTGTCGTTTTAGTGTAAATCTTTGACTGCTTACGATATTAGTGCTAAAAATTAATTGTTAGGTTTATCTTTAGCTTTATATGTATATATAAATATATATATTTATATATATATTTGTTTAAAAGTAATCATTACTTTAACTGTTACTTGTTACTGTTACTGTTCTATTTTTTTTTTGCGTTAACTCTGGTTTTTAGGCTTTTCTGTTCTGTCAAGTCGTGGGGGGGAATTAGTAGGAAAAATGAGTGAAATAGTTAGAAATGAGGGTTTTTTGCAAAAAATCTTCATAAAAAGGCAGCCATTCCGGGTTTCACTTCCGGTAACTGGCGGACATTTTGTTTTTATGTACAATGTGCACTTCCGGTCGAATTCGAAAAAATATTTATTCGAAAAACGCAGTTTCAGGAAAACGCCAAACAGAAAACTCGGTAAAGGTTTTTTCGCTTTATTTTCAAATTAATTTACAAGTTTCTCGCGTATTCTCAGCATTCTTTCAAGATACAAAAAATAAAAAAAAACTTATCATCGTTCAGGAGATAAAAATTGTTAAAAAAAAAAAAATAAAATTACTATTATTTTCTTTGTAAGGAAAAGGAAAGAAAAGCGTTTTTCCGCTTACGTACAATTCTGTGTGGGATGCAAAGAAAAATCGAAACAAACGAAACAACAACAATTATAATTTATACAAATTTTTTTTTTGTGTATTTTGTGTATTTTTTGTGGTTTTTTATATTTGTTTCTTAATATTTTTGTTTTTTTTGTCCATAACTTTTAGCGTCTTATACAAAGGGTGTTTGTTGGTTGTTTTTTTTTGTGGTTATCTACAAAAGAATTCAGATTTCTGTGCAGTGTATTAATGGAGGAGGGTGCTGGGTGCTTTGGTGCTGGCTGGCTGGCTGGGTTTCTTCGAAGGATATATATATAGGAGATATATGTATAGTAACAAAATATTGAAAAGTATTCAAAGGGAAAAGTTTGAAAATTAATGGTTGGATTGGATTTTTTGCGACTTGGACTTGGATCTCTTTCTATATAGCTTTCTATATCATTAATTCAACGATTTTTTTTAATTCTCCATTGGCTTTCTCTTTCACTTTTTCGCTATTTTTACGTACGTAGTTGGTGTTTTGCTTGCCTTTGTTGTTGTTGTTTATTTCTTTCAGTGTAATAGTTTTGTTATTGTATATATAGTATATATATATATAAATATATATATATAGGTATATATATTATAAACTGTATAAATTGCCTGCCTGCGCTACGCTGAACGTTTCGTCAAAAAAGGGATGGTTTTTTTTAAGTTTTCGATTTTTGCTTTCTTTTTCGAGTTTTTCTTTTTGTTTGTTTTTTTTTTTTTTACTTTTTTTGTTGTTTTTTTTTTTTGTTTGTTTTACTATTTATGACTTAATGGTAGAACTTTTTGTTGTTTTTGTTTATATATGCATTTTACTTAATTAACAAATAGCAGCGTGCATAGAGCTGCTATGCTCACGGTTCTCAGTACATAGGCATCTATATGCATACAGATATATTATGTTCCGATACTCATATGCATATATATATAGTCATATATACTTGGGCCATGTTCAAGAGACTAAAGGTTTATCGCTGCTTAGAGACTAACATATATAGACTTTTTCCCATTTTGTCGATGTTGCTGCTTGCTGCATAGAATAAGAAAGGGGATTTTGCTTGTTGCATGTTGCATGTTGCATGTTGCATGTGGCTTGGCTGGGCTGGGCTTCTGCATCTGTTAAGTGGTATTATTTTTAATGTTTACTTTACTGACTCGCTGACTCAAACACTGGACACTGGACACTGAGAAGACACAGAGGCAGGCCAGCCTGTTGTTCCATCATCTATTATCGTTATCGTTCTGTGTAATGTATTACATATATCTCTGTCGTATATAATATGTATATGTAGCGTAGTGTTTGTATTAATTAATGTATGTGTTTATATATGCATGCTGTTGATGCTTCCATCTGTTTATCCTTCTCGACTCATTTTCCTCCTCCTCCTTTTTATTTGCTCTTCTCTTCCTTTTCTTACTCCTTTACTCCTCTCTTCTTCTCTTTCTTTTTTACTCATCCCACTGTATCGTTCTCTTTCTCTGCTGACTCCAAGACCAAAATATCATATCAGGCATATTAATATTGCGGACTCCACCTCTCCCTAGTTATCGCCATTGTGATTGACGTTCTGCTGCAGCTCCTTCAACTTCTCCTCCCGGGGCTTGGCGTTCCCGAAGATGGAGGCCGACTGCTTCGTCTCGGCCACCGCATTAATGGGCGCAGCAATGGTTCGCGGCTTCAGCTGCAGGCGTGGCCGTTCCGTGTCATCTATAATTCGTAGAAAAATATATTACAAAATATTCCACTCGTTGGCCATCAAATGGAAACTTACCAATGGCACCCATGGAGGAGCCACCGCCGCCACCACCTCCAATACCGCCGGCACCACCGCCGCCGATACCACCGCTGGGTCGTTCGCTCTGCTGGTTGGGATTGTAGTGGGTGCGCTCGCGGTCGCGGTGCCTGCTGAAGTTGTTGTAGCGGTCACCGTCCCTCGACTGGTTGCCATAGCTGCCCTCCCGCTGGCCTCGATCACCGCGATCCTGGTTGCGATCGAACCGATCGTCGTTGTTGAAGTTTCCATACCGACCACGGTTCGCCGGCCGATCTGCAACGATATTGGGATTACAATTGGATCTATCTGGGAGGGGGGTGGGTGTCCCATCGTCTCTGCATGCTGGACTAAATGCAGAATCAAAGATACAAAGCGTGCGGGTGGGAGGAGTCGTTCAAAGTCTATCGGAGCGAGAGAGAGTGTGTGCTTGGACTACTTGAACTCAGGCTAGGATTTGGGTTTCGAGGATCTAGGATCGAGGATCTGGTAAAGTAATCGCCAAATAAGCCAAAATGAAGGATAGTCTTTAGAGATAATATCAAGAGACTGCAGGAACTACCCATATTCCGCTACTTAATATCATCAACTAACAGAATAAAACTTAAAATAATCATAAAAGTTCTTCCAAAATCTTAAAAATATCATCGAAAATCGGCACAAATGAAAGCAAAGCATAACCAACTCATGAAAAAGGATACGACAGGAGATTAGAAACAGAAAGCTGAAGGATACAAAGGAATCGAGATTGCTCTCCTGATTTAGAATCAACTACTATTCTGGCAGCTCTACGAGGGATGCAGCTACGTGTTGTTGTTGTTGTTGTTGTTTTTGGTTTTGGTTTTGGTTTGGTTGGTTGGTTGGTTGGACGGCAGATAAAAATGCTTTACCATTGTATCCTCTATTCATGCCACCGCCGCCAGTGCCTGGACCGCCGCTGCCGCCGCCGCCGCGACTTCTATCATTGTGACCACCATAACTATCATTGTACGAACCTCTACTATCGCCGCGATTACCCGAACCGCCGCCGCCTTCGCGACCGCCCCCGCTGCTGCCGCCGCTGCTACCAGGTCCGCTTCGGCTATAGGACTGCGTTGCGCCGCCCTGGCGTGGCGGGCCGCGTTTCTGGAATCCGTCTCGGCCGCCGTCGCGACCCATGCCGCCGCCATTACCGCCTCCAATGCCGCCACCAGGGCTACAACAAAAATATCAAATAATATATTTTACTCTTAATGAATAGAATTCCAAGATTACCGATCATTTTTCCGACGATCGGCTATATCGATGCGGAGTGGAGCGGAGAGATCATCAAGCTTGATCCTTCCGTCACACTCGAGGGCCCGCTCCAGATTGTCCAGCGTCTCGAACTCCACATAACAGAAGCCCTTGAACTGATCCGTTTCACGATCCTTAACCAGCCTCACGTTCTTCACCTCAAAGTCTTGGAATATTTTGATGACATCGCCTTGGACCAGGCCCTGCGGCAGATTGCCGACGAAGGCGATGAAGGGCGGTTCCGTGGGCAACTGCTTCACATGCCGCTCTCCACCGAATCCGCTCCTGGAAGATGAAAATTTATGATAATGATTAGTATTTGTGGAAAGTTTGGGGGTGTAGGTTAAGTAACTGTTTCTAAAGCGTGTTTAGCCATGTTCGTTCTTCGATGGGCATGTTTGTTCTTGTTTGTGGGTGTTTTAAATACTGTTATTTGGTTATTTAAGAGCTTAGATGTCTATATACTGTCTTCAAATAATATATGTATAGACTAGGGTTTATGAGGAGTAACTGAAGTAACTCTGATTCTTAAGCTGTTTGCAGGCTTATTTTTGATTGGACATGTTTATTTGTTTTGTAAGACTGTTATCTTCCCGTTATCTCGTTAAATTTCCGTTAACTATAAAGAATAACTGAAGAAACTCTGTTTCTTAAGCTTTACGCTTGAACTTGCTTGACTGGACATGATTATTCTTGTTAATTTAAGCTCCAAAGAGCGTGTTACGCTTATTTTAGACATAGGCTAGTATTCTATTAATATTCTGGAGCCTGTAGCTCTATATACTTCAAAAAAATAATAAATATATTAGTATTTATAAAGAATAACTCTTTTTTGTAAGCCCAATCATGATTGGACATGTTTTTTCAGATGCTCTTATGCTCTTAAGACCGTTATTTAGTTATTGTTTGAGCCTCTAACTCTGTATACTATATAAAAATAATATAAAGGTTACTACTTATGAAGAGTAACTAAAGTAACTCTGTTTCTAAAGCTTTAGACTTGCACTTTCTTGATTGAACATGTTTTTTCATGCTTTTTTATGCCCTGAAGACTGTTATTTGCTTATTTGAGACTGAGATTAGTTAGATCCAGTTAGATCTCTTTATAATAAACAAAAATAATAAATAGATTAATATTATTATAGAATAACTCTCTTTATAAAGCTATTTGTTGATTGTACATAGCTATTATAATGTATTTATGCTCTTAAAAGCCTTAAGTGATTATTCAAGAACCTATATCTCTGTATTCCAGACCAAAATAGTAAATACCTTGTAGTTTATGAAGAATACAACCCTTTCTAAAGCACTTTCTTGAATTAACTCGTACCTTAATGACTCTTTATACTCTCAAGACTGATTTTTGTTTATTTAAGAAGGAAATGAATATAATCTAGTACCTGTATCCCCATATACTACATCAGAACAACCTATAGATTACTATGAATCAAGAATAACTCAATCAAATCTGTTTCTGAAGCTTCACGACCGTTTATTGATGATTATTTAAACAATCACGACTGTTTTTCGAGTTTATTTGGTTACTTGAGACGATCTGCAGAGCTCGGCATAAATCTTGAATCAGTAACCTATATCTTGAATGGCTTTCATACCCTACTTTCAGTATTACTTTGTTTATCAACAAACTCATTATGGGTTCATCATCGTTGTTGATAAACAAAGCATTATTATTTATATTTTTTACCAGCCTCTAGAGGTCTATTGGTTGAAAAACTTAGAGGCCTGGTCTATTCTAGCTTTGGGTATTATTGATAGATCCTTTGGATGGATCATGTCGTGGCATGTCCTTCTATGACAGCTCTCATTTAAAAGTTGGAATACTATTTGAAAGAACACCTCGGTGATTAAATATTCAGCCGCCAGACTATTGTTTATTTTTAGTTGTTCCTGGTAGCCGGTGGTTTTGGTTCCCACGAACTGTTGGAGGAACATGTGGCATGTGTGGCGCGTTGCAAGCACCAGAAAGAACAACAACAACAACAACTACGTATAAGCACTGTGAGCACCGGTAACTGGACAGGTGTATGAAGGCGTTGGAAAAGCGCGCGCTTTTGGACAAAAACTGCATCATTGTTGGAATCATATTTCGCGATGGGGTGGGAGGTGTGGCGGCGCATTTGGAGGAGGCGCGGCTCCTCTGCCGGCGCTTGGGGCGCGTTGCCCGGCAGTGGCGGCGCCGCATCTGCCGGCTGCGACGCAGGCGTTGGCTGCAGCAGCAGATTTTCGGAAAAGCGCAAAATAAGACAAAAAAAAAACGAAAAATAATAAAACACACGGTGGAAAGGAAAAAGAATGTGGAAAAAAAAAAACACGCACACCAGCACACACACACACACCAAGCACACCACACACACTCACACACACACAGCCATACATAGAAAGGCGGCGACCAACGACCGAGACACGTACACACGCCTCTGCGTTGGTGTGTGTGTTTTTGTCGGGGCGAGTGCGCGCGTGTGTTGTGTATATGTGTATGTGTGTGTGTGTGTAGTGTGTGCGCGTGAGTGTGTTTGTGGGATGGTGTTGCCTTTTTGCCCAAACCCCAAACCGCGTGCATTATTTCCGATTTGGGATAACGACGGGAATTGCACTTGCATAAACACTCGCGCCCCACCACTACCACTTTCACTGGCATCCTTTAGCTGCGGCGACGATCGGACGGCGGCAATTACCGAAAATAATTGATAATATTTACCTAGCGTGTTCATAACCACCTCTTCCAGCCATGTTTTTTTTTTCAAATGAGCGAATTCGCTGCAATCCGCAGACTGACTGCTCGTCGGTTTTCGCCGCGGCCACCAGTGTGTCCACACCAACCAATTAGCGATGATATTTTTTTTAACACAATGCAAGCAACAAATATAACCGAAAACGATCGAGACTCGGTTATGATCGTTATCGTATTTTAATTAAACATTTTTCTAAAAAATTATGAAATTAAATTACAATTGTGAAGTTGCCGGTATTCCAGAGGACCAAACAGCACTGGCCAATTCGCCGTGCTATCCACGTTACAGCTCGGTAGTGCTGTCGACATTTTATTAAAGGATTAAAGTGGTTGAATTGATTCATTAAAGAAAATGTATTAGAGTAAGCATATAATTTTCATATTTCGCAGAAATAATGAATGATTACGGTAGTGTTGGTAAACATAGATCTATTCGAATTCGCCGCTCACAACAGACAATTCGCGTTAGTGCTGACAAAAAACGATATTTTCTACTATCGATGTTTCGATGCTTTAAAGGATAACGACAAATCGCATTTCATTGGCAATTTTCTTAAAAAATAAGAAAATTGAGTGAAACGTAAGAAATATTAGTTAATGAGATCAAATTAATAAAAATAACACTCCTGTTTTGGAACAGAAAAATCTATCAAAACATCGATAGTTCTAAACAAAAATCTTTTAAAATTTTCCAACACCGATAGTGCTCTGATGTTTTGCCAGCACTAATACACATAACACTTACAACACTGCCCGGCGGCACCGCTCTTCTTCTTACGCCCTTTTGGCAGAAATTGTACACGTTTTTTCCCGGATCACCGAGTGCATTTTGAATTTCTGTGTGTAAATATTCCACCATGGCACTAACGTCGCGCTTTTACTTCGAGCGATATCCCGAGATCGAGGATGTCGTTATGGTAAATGTACTTTCCATTGCCGAAATGGGCGCTTACGTCCATCTGCTGGAGTACAACAACATCGAGGGCATGATCCTGCTCTCTGAGCTGTCACGACGTCGCATCCGTTCCATAAACAAGCTGATCCGAGTTGGCAAAACCGAACCCGTCGTCGTCATTCGTGTGGACAAGGAGAAGGGCTACATTGATCTGTCCAAGCGTCGTGTCTCCCCCGAGGATGTGGAAAAGTGTACCGAGCGATTCGCCAAGGCGAAAGCCATCAATTCCCTGCTCCGGCATGTGGCCGACATTCTCGGCTACGATGGCAACGAAAAGCTGGAAGAGCTATACCAGAAAACCGCTTGGTACTTTGAAAAGAAGTACAACAGCAAAACGGTGGCTTACGACATCTTCAAGCAGTCCGTGACGGATCCCTCGGTCTTCGATGAATGCAATCTGGACGCGGAAACCAAGGAGGTGCTGCTGAGCAACATCAAGCGCAAGCTGGTCTCGCCAACGGTCAAAATCCGGGCTGACATCGAGTGCTCCTGCTACGGTTATGAGGGCATTGACGCCGTCAAGGCATCCCTCACCAAGGGCCTGGAGTTGAGCACCGAGGAGCTGCCCATCCGGATCAATCTGATAGCACCGCCACTGTAAGTTTTTGTGTTTTTGAAGCAGAGCCTTCCTAGAATAGTAATACATTGTTAATCCTTTCCAGCTATGTTATGACCACGTCCACGACCAAGAAGACAGACGGCCTGAAAGCCCTCGAGGTGGCCATCGAGAACATACGGGCCGAGATCGTGAGGTACGAGGGCGAATTCAAGGTGATAATGGCACCCAAGCTGGTCACCGCCATCGACGAGGCCGATCTGGCCAGGCGGCTGGAGCGGGCCGAGGCCGAGAACGCCCAGGTGGCCGGCGACGACGATGAGGAGGACGGCGCCGATCAGGAGGGCATGCAATTCGATCCCGAAAAGGAGTTCAATCATAAGAATTCGTCATCGACGGCCGCGAACAATGACGATGACGACGACGAGGACGAGGACGAGGACTAGTATAGTGATGGCACCGGAACAGAGAAACAGAGACGAGATCATGGGAATTATATATATTTTTTGCTCTGAAAATTATCTCCTAAAATTGCTGTTTCTTTATAAATTATACCATATTAAATATTTAAATTTAAAAGGTACGAAATTAATGCAGTTTGCTATTATTTTTTAATCTTTTTAATATTTTAAAAACAATACTCTCGGCCTTTTTTTTTTTTTTTTTTTTTTATTAATAAACCCAATTCATTTTCAACTTAATACTAGATCAAAGTTTTTGTATATTGTTTTTAAATGTGTGTTTGTGTATAAATTGCAATATATATATATATATATATATATATTTTATAATCAATAATATTTATAGTCAGGCAAAGTTTCCTTTTTTCTTTTTTTTGAATCCACTCTCCGTTCATAATACGATTACTGCGGACTTGGTATCCATCACCAGTGGCCAGTGTCCAGTTTCCAGTGTCCAGTGTCCAGCGTGTTGTATTTTATATGTTTATAATTCCATTTATTTATGCATTTCGGTTACTTTTCAACTTAATTTTACATTTTCTTTTTTTTTTTTTTACTTAAATATTTTCTAGAAAAAAACCAACCCTTGCTATGTGTTTCTTTTTTTTTTGTAAAAAATTGATCCGCTAGTGGAGAGAAATGCATCCTAATTTGAACTATTGTACAATCGATTAAAAAGTAATTGCACTAAATTATAAAAATTATTATTTTGTTTTTAAAAGTTCATTTAAGTTTTCTTTTTTTTTCAATTTTCCTGTTTTTTTTTTTCTGTTTTTTTTTGGTATTGCTCGGAGTATTTCGTTGGTCTGGGGATCATGGGTATCTCAATTCTATTCTATTGCCGTCTCCAGGGTATTCTTCTCCGAAATGCGGTCTGCTGCTCCCTCATCATCCAACGGTTGGACCTGGTTCAGCTGAACCCGCCACCACCACTGAGCAGCACCGAGCTGGCTAGCTGCTTGTTACCGTTGCAGACCCGCAGGGCGGTGAGCACCTGGCCGCGCTGGAAGCCCAGCTCCATGAGATCGGTTACGTCCTGTTCGGTGAATCGGTCAAACGGCTGTATGGTATTGGGTCCACCGCCAGCAGTAATAGCACTTCCGGCTGTGGTAGTGCCACTGCCACTGGCACCGCCCTCAGCGCCACCGCCGCCACCTTCCCGCTTGCTCTGCTCGATGGCATCTTCGATGGCCTGCTGCTCCATCGACTCCTCGGAGTTGCCGGTCAGGCGGGCGCTGGCCGGCAGCTCGCTCTCCGGCAGGAAGGGCGTCGTCGTGCCTGTGGTGCCGATGATCAGAAGGTTCCGTTGCAAGTCAATCAGACACTGAAGCGGAAGCATGCACCCACTAATTAAACAACCCAAAAGCATTGCTTTCCTCGGTGTCTCCACATGAGAGAAGAATCCTTACCTGATGCCTCTTCAGCATGTCCAGGCCCAGCAGCATGTCCATGGGCTGCTGCCCCAGCACCGTGAAGCTGGAGGTCAGATGATCGTTCTCGATCTGCAGCTGGACCATGTGGATCCGGCCCAGAATGGGCTGGGTGCCCACGCCCTTGGCCACACCGTTCCAGCGCGTGTCGATCAGCCGGTTGACGTGACACCGTTCGGCGCAGTCCTTGCTCATGATCGTCGTCTGGGCGCCCGAGTCCACAAAGGCCTTGACCGGTATTCCATTCACCTTGCAGTTGATATAACTGGAAAGAAAGGGTTAATCCTTTAGCGTACTGGACTCCCTAACAAAGGTGTTGACTCACAGCATAGTAACCGTGCCAAAGATCTCCGGATTGTACTCGATGGCGGCCGCCATGTTGTCCTGGATGTTCTTCTGCTTGATCTCCTCGGCAATAAGGCGTTGGGTCTCCTCGTCAAAGGGATCCGCGTTGAGCATTCGCATCCTCTGATCGTTGATGCGCTTTCGCTCCGATATGTGCTCGCGCAGCACCCGGGCGAACGTCTCCAGGTCGCCCGAGTCGATGGCCTCCGCCAGGCGTTTGTTATACTGCCGGAGCAGGGCCAGGGTCTCCGGGCTGGAGAGCAGCATCTGGCGCACTGTCGCCGGATCGTCGTCAAAGTTCACATTGAACTCGTCGGTCGGGGGATGTCTGTGAGGTTCTCGAACTGTGGCGGTATTCCGGGTTGCACGCCCTGCTGTTGGGTGCTTCTCGTGGGCGGACTGGCGCCAGTACTCGTGCCGGGAACGACGATGCTGCTAAAGTCCAGATTCCTGATTGCCGACTGCTGGTTAGCGATATTGGGGGGCCCTAAAAATATCGGATATATATCGGAAATAAAGCTTATAGTGGGCCGATCCTTATTAGCAATTTATTCGAATACTAAAATTAATACAAAGTCCCAAGCTTCTATCTTTAAAAATACCAAAGATTTTCTATTGTTTAGATATATATGGCAGCTATAGGATATAGTTGGACGACCCTAATCGAAATCGTAGGAACAGCATTCGTAGGAAATCCCAACTTTCTAACTCTAAAAACACTAAAGTTATAGCATTTTCGATCAATCAGTTATATGGAAGTTATAGGATATATAGTCGACCGATCAGACGGACATGCTTATCGGGAGCTTTTCTAACTTTATAGACTATGTTATACCCGGTATTCATATACCCACACCCTTCTAGGATAATCTTCAAGGTAATGGGTTCTCAGGATGGGCTTTAGGATATTCCAAATCGGATAAATCTATATTTTATAGTCTTCGAGATCCACGCGATTAATATTTCAACACTTTAGTATCGAAATTGGTGTATAAATGGCTATATCTCCTCTAAAAATCGCCCGATTTGGCTGAATTTTGTTTTTCGGTTATAAATTAGCTATAGAAATATTTTGGCATCAAAATTTGTATCAAAAGCCCTTCACTCTACGAGTACCGGGTATAAAAATACAGTACTCGTGAATCTTCTTTCCAGACCTTAGACCTATTCTGAATAATTTTTGTTTTTAAGGAACAAAAAAAAAATAAAACTTTTTATTTATCAAGATTTATTTAATTAAGTAGAAGCTACATACTTGTAAGAAGATAATACCACAATAGATCATGTATATATATTTTTTAATTCCACATTCCACTTCGTTGCAAGAAATGTTTTCGAAAAAAATGTGTTTTGATTTGATTAGTTTAAAAAAAATACATAAATGGCCTTACGTTGAATATAAATTAGTTTTTGTTGAAATTTTTTCATTAAATTGTTGGAAAAATTAGTTATAGTTTTTTGAAAATAAGTTTCTTTGTTTATTACCTGGAGAATATATCCAAGAGGATTGTGTAAAAATTTTAGACCGATAAGTTAATCCATTTTCGAGAAATCGAGATCACCGACATTACAAACAGACTTTTTTTTTCTTTAAAAAACTCGTTTAAAGTTTCCCGGCTTTCCTTTGAGGCACTCTGATATGTATAGCCCCAAAAACATTTATCGGATTAGGTTGAAATTTTGAAAAGATTAGAATTAGTAGATTAGAATAAAATAAAATAATTGAAAAAATAAATAAAAAATAGCTTCAATAATAAAAAAAGAGGTTGAGAAACTTAAAAGCCTAAAAAGGGAGCTACTTAGCAATACACTATGATAATAATATAGTATTATCATAAGAATATTCTTCTATTAGGGTCTTTCTATTGTAAAAATATTCATTTCATATAATTAATTGATAATAGTTGGGTTTTAGGAACCTTAAAGTATAACCTTTTTACCTTAAACCCGTAAATGAAAAAAGGAGAAAGACGAAATAATAAAAAAATTAAATTTTTTGCAGAGGTTTTAAAATAAAAAAATTAATATTTAAAAATTTGGGCCCTTTTTTATATAAAATAATTTTAATAAAATTTATTATATTTTCCTTTGCTCATTTACCAGTTAAATGTATTTAATTAGGGATTCTTTTACCACTATTTTTTTGATTACTATTATTTTTAGGATTATTACTAAGAATTATTAAAAATTTCATCAAGATCAGCCGAGTAGTTTTCAAAAAAAGGGTTTTGAGAAAAAAACCTTTAAAGTTTTGAGTGCCAGGGGAGCCCACACTGAAGTCCGACTTCAAAATTATCTTCTAAAGTATTTCCCAGATCGATTTGAAATATTCCAGATGTTAAAGCATTTATTTAAAAAAATTTAAAAAAATATGTATATCTTTGTTTTCTTTTAGCCCCCTTACCATATATGTAGATATGTAGACCACTTCTGCAACGAGTGTTTATGAAATGAAATTGAAATTTTTGCAACGCCCACACACACCTGACTGCAGTCACCAGTCACCAGCAACCAGCAACCAGCCACCAGTCAGGGTAAACAGACAAAGATTTCCAAACATATGTATGCCATGACAAGGCCAACCACGCACTGCGATACGGCGGGGGTCAAAGAACGCCAAATACGCAAAATATTTCTGCGAAAGCGAACCAATCAGAGGAGCACCTGCTACTGCTTCTCCATAGACACTGCCTCCCATGTCCATGTCCACCTCCGCTGCAGTTGCGATAAGCCTTGCCGGTGGCCCCCGTGACCCAAAAAAAAATAACAAAAAAAATTAAAAACAAATTATAACAAAAAATAGCTGCGGGGAATCGGCAGTTGGTTTATTTTTAACACCAACTGCGCCGCAAAGATTGGCGATCTGCGCTTTTCCAAAAAAGAAATAAACGCTGGTGTTCATGTCATGGGAGAAGCCACAGCCATATAAGGTAAACAATGCAACGAACTGGGCAGAAGGGCAGGATTTCTCAAGCTTGGATGTGGAATCATACATTCCAGGAAGCTTAATCTTAAAACAAGCTATTAGTAAGCCCACAGAGTTGCTGGAAACTAGGGTTCTGAGAACGGAGATACAAGCTCTATTTCATCAGAATTCGTAAATCCTAAAACAGGAGTACTACAGGATCATAAGAATATCCTTTTAGGAATTCAAAATCTTCAAATTTGTACATTATTTTACACACTATTATTTTAAGACTTAAACTACGCATTAAAAACTAAAAAAAAAAAACTTAAACTTAAACCCTTAAACTACTTCTTAAAGTCTAACCATTTAGGATGTCTCATCCAAGACATTACACCACCATTGCGAGAAGCTTCTATCATGGAGCCACCAACACCGTATGACCCACTTAGCGGTTGATGGCCCACCGTTTCCACCGTTCGCCTGCCCACATAGCTATGTATGTGAGCATTCAATGACCCCCCATCTCACCTGGCCTCTGGGCTATCCTTCGGCGCTCCAACAGGATAAAGTCACCGTCACCGACGCCGCACTGTTGCAGCGAATGCTTGTCGTTGGTCAGCTCCCGATTGTTGAATAGAACCACCAGTTGGGTCACATCGGCGCCAATCTCCATGGCGCAGAGGACCTTGAGGTTCTCCAGCTCAAGATCCTGGGGCACATCCAGGCAGAAGACCTTATCATCGCTGGTCACTGTGATTTTCATACTGCTCTCTCTCTCTCTCTCTCCTGCTACTCCTACTCCTAGGCGCTACGATGCGCTGGATGGATACAGTTGTGAGATATTTTCCCGTTTCACTGACTCTGAAGAGGATGTGGGGGCAGTGCGCTCGATGGGCTGGATGCTTTATATCTGGCGATCGGGATGTTGCTCTGGAAGTGCGTTGGAGGTTCTTTTTTTTTACTTCTTTGCTTTGTTTTTGACAACGCCGCCTACACGGCACGGTTGCATTCGGTTATTAATCGGCTGGCCACCATGCGATAGTCCGTACACCAAGCGATAGTTCATCCGCAGTTCGCCCTAGTGCAGATTCCCTGGGTCATCTGAAGATTTAACTAAGAATTTTGAACAGGCCTAAAAATAATTTTCAATAATTTGGCATTTCAAACAAAGTTTTTATTAAAATATTTCTTAATTGGCAATGTCAAATTATTATGTAAATTATAAAATTTTATTCAATCAATTTAATTATTCTTTAAATATTTATTAAAATATAAATAAAACTTTGTATAATTATTAACAAAACAAAAGCCATTTATTTAATTAAGTAGTTCTTGCAGATGGCAGCCGATATATATCGATAGGTCACTGAAGTGCCATCACCAAGTCTCTGAAAATTTCTTGTATTTACCTTATTCGATTGGGTCAACTGACAAGAGTAGGACGGCGCTGGAGCTTTATTGCCGTGTCCGTCATCGTATCGCGTCTCATACAACCACTCGAGCCGAGCAGGAAGCCAGCCAGACATCCTTGCCAGCGTCATGTCCACGCAGCAGGCCGAGACCGAGGAAGCGGTGGCGCCCAAGTCCAAGCGACCTTCAGGTTGGAAACCCACACTCCCTTTGCACATACCCACACGCACACACAAAGCAGAGTGATAAGCCCTGAATGACTAATGTCCATTTCGTATATTGGTTTTACGATTTTACGGGCTAATCGATATTTTCGGGGCCACACCATCCTGTCGCAGAGAACAGTGTGTGGCCGCCACACCTGCTGCTTCACAAGTCATGAGGTCATTTGGCTAACCTTGGTATCCTATTTACCTTTGGCAGATTCGGCTTTTAAGCAGCAGCGCTTGCCCGCCTGGCAGCCCGTCCTCACCGCGCGCACTGTCCTGCCCACCTTCTTTGTGATCGGAGTGCTCTTCATACCGATCGGAGTGGTTCTCCTCCACCTGTCCAACACCGCCAACGAGAAGATCATCGACTACACCAACTGCAAGCCCGCCAACTCCTCCACCAGCTGTGCCGTCTATCTGGAGAACAATCCTGGCGGAAAGTGCACCTGCACCCAGAACTTCACCCTCGAGAAGGACTACATTGTGAGTAATGCCGCCTCTCCGTGCTGGTCATTCATATTTAATCGAATATTTCGCCACAGGGCAATGTGTACATGTACTACGGCCTGACCAACTACTACCAGAATCATCGGCGCTATGTGAAGTCGCGGGACGACGAGCAGCTGCTCGGCCACCTCTCGCAGACGCCCAGCTCGGACTGTTCTCCCTTCGCCTACAATCCGGAAAATCAGAGGCCAATTGCGCCCTGCGGTGCCATCGCCAACTCGCTGTTCAATGGTATGGCCTCTGGATAGATGTGAATCCCATGAAACTAACCTAATCTATGCCTTGTAGACACTCTGACCCTCAGCCAGGGCGGCGTGCCAATAAAACTGTTGAAGACTGGCATCGCATGGCCTTCGGATAAGCGCGTCAAGTTCCGCAACCCGGAGGGTAATCTCAGTCTGGCACTGAAGGACTTTGACAAGCCGCTGTTCTGGCAGAAGCCCCTCGACGAGCTCGATCTGGAAGATCCAGACAACAATGGCTTCCAGAACGAGGATCTGATTGTGTGGATGCGCACCGCGGCACTGCCCAGCTTCCGGAAGCTCTATCGCCGACTGAACCAGACGGATGAGAAGTATTCCAAGGGTCTCAAGGCCGGCGAATATACTCTCACCATTGATTATTGTATGTAGTGGCCGGCACTGGCCAGGAAACAAGGACATCAGTTAAGATTTTGTATATTTTTCAGACTATCCGGTGGTCTCGTTTGACGGCACGAAACGCATGATTCTCTCCACCACTTCTGTGCTGGGTGGAAAGAATCCCTTCCTGGGCATTGCCTACATAGTGGTGGGTGCGATATGCATCACCCTGGGCCTGGCCCTCCTGTTCATCCACATGCGATGCAGCCGCAGGTAAGTGGCGAGAGTTCCTAGGCATTCCTCGCCCTCGCCCATCCCATCCTCATGCTTCACCTCCTCATCCAAAACCTTCTCCATCCGCAGCATTGAGGTTGGATAGTCGCGGTAATCCATCCACTTCATCATCCATCAAACCTCCTCATGGCCCGGTGCGCGATAAGTATTCAAAATTGAAACCAAAGAAAAAAACTTGAAGTGTAGCGATTAGGAACTTATCGGGCACACTGGCCAACAGAAATGATTGACACCCGCCCATGTTGGGCAAAGTCTAATCTAAGGTACTCTTTCCGTTTCCACAGCAGCAACATGGAGATGATCAACGTGAACCCGCACACGCAGTACTCCTAGGCCCTGGCGTACTCCCGGATGCCTACACACTTAGCTTTAGTAGATACATCTGTTTAAGCCTCCTCTTCTTTTCCAGCATAAAGTAGTTACTATTGACCAACTCCCAGCACTGTATTATGTTCTCCTCTGTTCTCTCCGCTCTGTGTGCATGTGGCCAGTGCCTATCCCGGAAGTGGCTGTGCCTTTTGTTATTAATCTTCATGTACTTCGTGATTTTTTTTATGTTGATACCCGACTTTGGACACTATTAAAACTTATCCATATACACTGAGCAAAACTTTCTACCAAATGCAAAATATTTATTGTGCCTGTGACCTGATTTGTATATTGCCCAATTATCACGAAAAATAAACCCCGTTTAATGGCAAATATGCATTTTAATACGCGGGATCGCTTATCGCTAAAATGATTGTAAGAATTTACTAATTAAACCGATTAAGGTTAGTATATAGTCCGTAGAAATAAATGGCAGAACGGGCACTTGGCACTTGAACCCTGTATTCCGGGCAGTTCCTTTGATTTGTAAACTTTATGAAAGTTTTTTAATAAAATAAATCTTTTTACTTAATATAAGATTTTGTTTTTAAAAGGAAGAACTATTTTTCTTAAAAATTTTCAACATCTTTTTGAAATATAAAATGTTTTAATGTTAAAAACTCTAAATGTATTTAAATAAAACTAAAAGCTTTGGAAAATATTTAAATTGCTTTAAGGGTCTGGTCTTCTAGTCTAGTTTTTACTAATAATGTTATTTTATTATTTGATTTATGTTTAAGGTTTATATACAAAAACAGAAAGGAATTTTTACTTTGGAGCCGAAGTTAATATAGTCTTGCAGTGGCAGTATATGTATCTATATCTATATGTATATAGAAGATATCTGCTAGAATAATACTGCACCTACAGGATATAGTTGCCTCTATGAGTTTCATTATAAAAAAAATTATATTTCTTATAATACTATTTTTTTTATATAAGTCCCAAGCTTTTATCTTGAAAAACACCAAAGTTATGGCATTTACGATTCATCGGTTCCATATATAGCAGCTATACGACATGGTCCAATAAAACTTCAAAAAAAAAAATTACAAAAAAAAAAAAATAAATTAAAAAAATAAAAGAATATAAAAAAGAAATTATAACTAAATAGAATTAAACAAAATAAAAAATACAACAAGAATCTTCTAAATATCAACCCAGGAGGTGATGCTGATCAAGAATTTATACCCTTTATAGGGTCGGAGGTGTCTCCGAAAAAAAAATATAATTTAAATTATAATACCCTATGCAAGGGTATAATGGCATCAAAACTACAACAACAAACAAAGAATTACAATAACAAGAAAACAAAAAAAATAATTAATTAAATTTACAAAAAATAAATACTTATTTTTTCCGATTTTTCGGGCCTGCTTAAGTGCAACCTATGAGAATCGAGGAGGAGGGCGCTATTTAAAAAAAAAATTTTTATTATTATTTTTAATTATTTTATTGAATAGTTTCAAAATTAATGCATTTCCTGCATCATTATCATATGCAAAAACACGGTAAAATTGTACTCTTTATTTGTATTGGACTTATAGACGCCCTTAAATGTAGGCAATGAAAATATTTAATTTTCTGATTTTAAATATTTTTTCTTTTGGAAATTATAGAATTGGCTTGTTTTACAAGCTTTAAAAGCTTATAAATTACAGTTATTTTATATAGTATATACGGTACAGTTATTTAGCAAAAAGAACTAAATTAAAAAGAGACAAGAAAGAAAAGATTATAACTCGGTTTAACTATATACTATATAACAAATATCGGTTGTAGTTGGCTAACACTTATGGAATTTGGTAGATCAAGCCAATATCTTCAAAAACACGATGGGTAATTTCCAATCTTTCAGGTATAAAGAAACCATATTCTGCCAAAATTATAATACCTTCTGCAATGAATTTTCCATTGGGGACTAAAGGAGAAAAAAACCAGACTAGGGGAGAAGAAAAATAGTCTGTTTTGGTCATTTTAAAAATTGAAATGTCAATCCTGAAATATCAATCCTTATCTTTTCTCATGTCGCTATGGCACAAACCAACAAAAGCAAACAAAAAATGTCATAAAATATTTTCATAAGAATAAATCGATATTTTCACTAATTTTTCGGCATTGTTTAATTTTTCTGTTTTAAAATAAGAAATTATTAATTTTTTTTTGTAGGTTTGTGAGATATTTAAGGAATATTCATGCCAAAAATCAAGAAATTTTGTTGGTTAGTACTTGAGATATCGTGCGAAGCATATCGTATAAATTAATTTCGAGAAAAGCGGATTCACCTTTCATAAAACTAAAACGGCTATTACTTTAAAATGAATTGTAAATTGAGAATTAAAAAATTAGGAAAATAATCTTAAACATCTAATGTTAAGTTAAGCTAAATAGTTTGCTGCAAAAGTTGCAAATGAATATAAAACGGAGAGTTCATGTAGAGAACCAATTCATGTATGTGCTTGTTTCAACTGTCACGGTCGCCAAATGGAAAGCTTACCGTTATTTCAGGCACTATTTCAATGTCTTCTGGTTATCTGTGAAATAATTTTCCTCTAAAGTTGCTACCAAACCCCTTTCTTTGAATAATAAAAACTTGCAATTTAGTTTTATATTTTTAGGTTTATATTCCTTTTATTTTGTTTTCGATTCTTCAACGCGTGAGGGACAAAAGTTTGCTTATATCGTTATGATTCTGCATTGTATAATTTATTTTGTACCAGTTACATATTATATATTATATGGTAGCTTAAAAGCTAGTTACATAGGTATAATGCCGCATTGTGTGTGATTGTGATTGTGGGTTTGGTTTGTGGGTGTGTTTGGGTAGAGTTGGGAGATGGTAACTAGTCATAGTCGATGTGTCATCCAGACCGACCTTGGTCCACCTTAACCATCGTCTAAGTAAGGTGCCAAGATCGATCGGTACCATTTTTAACGCAATAATGTTTTAAAAGAGAGACTATATCTCTTGTTGTGGGGGTGTTTCAAGACGTATACACCTATAGGCTCCGATGTAAGATAGAAATAGAAGACTAAACCAAAGAAGGTTCGAAAGTGTAATGTTTTTTAGTGTCTGGATGGGGTTCTTTTAAAAGAATAATCCACCAAGAGTACAATACCACGAGTGCCGACTTCGAAAAGGTATTTTTTAAAATTATTATTAGAATTGCAAACGAAATAGTGTAGGAAGTAAATATAATGCATATACCACATATAGTTTTGTAGGATAGTTCTATATAGGGTATCTTCAAATAGGTATTTTTTTTAAATTATTTTTTGAATTGCAAACGAAATAGTGTAGGAAGTAAATATAATGCATATACCACATATAGGTTTTGTAGGATAGTTCTATATAGGGTATTATCGAATAGGTATTTTTTTAAAATAATTTTTTGAATTGCAAACGAAATTGTGTATGAAGTAAATATAATGCATATACCACATATAGTTTTGTAGGATAGTTCTATATAGGGTGTAAATAGTGTGTGGCAATCGTACTAATATAAGGATCCTTTTTCCTAAATGGTCAAAACGAAGGAAAAAGGATCCTCGTAAGAAATGTTGTACAGAGTATCATAGATCATAGATCATAGATCATAGATCATAGATCATAGATCATAGATCATAGATCATGGATCATATATCAAAGATCATGGATCACGGATCATAGATTATAGATCATGGATCATGTTACGTGTATCTTGTATAAGTACCGCCGACTTGACTTCTGTATTTGGCTTTTTTGCGAAACTAAACGATGTTTAGTAACTGCCTTTAGTAAGTGGCTTGTATTTAACAATATTGTTTCTATTTTTTAAACCGAAATATGTTTTTTTGGGGCCTAAAAGGGGGGTGTGGTTTAGAAAACCTATTTTAGAATTTTGGGGAAGACCAAGCAGGTTTAAAAAAAAGTAAAAAAAAAAATATATATATCTATTATCTAGAACTATATAGCTTTGGGGGAGGGGGGTTTTTCAAACCTTTGTGAGTGTCGGTTATCGGTTGTCGGCGTGTCTTTAGAAATACTTTGAAAATCCTGATGGTTCTACACTAATCCTAACTGAGCGGTTACCCATTTTTTTCTGTAAATCGTTTGCTTTGGTGCATCATAATTCGCTTGCCATTGATGTGTGTTTGTGTTTCCACTTAAATACTATTTAATTCTATATCTATATATATATAGAGATATATATATAAAGTTATTAGTTTTAAACCTAGAATGTGTAGCTTGTCTAGCGAAACTTATGGCTACAGGATGCAGAGCATTTCAATCCCTCTTCTCCTACAATTCAGCGTGTTTTTTGTGGCGTGTGGGGGTGTGTGTGAGTGGGTGTGTGTGCGCGGTACGAACTAGTTTAACATTAAAAAAAAAATTATATATATATATATATATCCTGCATATATACATATATATGAGATGGATATATATATGGAGGATTGGACCTTAAGATCTATAGAGAGAAAAAAAGGGAGTACGCACACAAGAGCTACTACTACTACAGCACTACTACTCTGGCTATACATGATCGTGGCTGATGATTGATGATTGATGATGATGGAAGATGATGATGGTAGTGATGGAATGCGTTCGCTCTGGAGAATGGAGGTATGTCTAGGATCTTACTGTCTCTGTTTTCAAGTTTCTTTCTGTTGGGTTTTGGCGGTGTGTTTGTGGTTCTAGTGGTTCTAGTGGTTCTAGTGGTGGCTGGGCATTTCTTTGTACATTTCAAGTGAGATGGAGGATGACTGTGGCAGCATTGGTGGCAGCCGCTGGTGGCTTACTACTCTTACTGGTACTCGTCGTTGTCGATGTCGTCTTTGAGGGCACCGCTTCCGTTGTTAAGGATGATGCTGCCGCTGCCGCTGCTCCTCCTCCGGCTACCACCTTGACCTTGGCCAGCTTTGGACCATTGAGGAAATGGCTTTTGATGTGGCTCTGGAGAAGCTCCTGAGAATCGAAACAAAGTTGACATAGATCACAGGTAAAGCCTGGCACCTCCGGCACCTTTTTGTGCCGCTCACCCGTGGAATGTGACTGCGACGTGGTCGTGGTGGTGGCGGTTGTGTTCGACTCGCTGGCCGACGACGAGTTGCGCCTTTCGTTGCCCACCTCGTCCATGTCATCGTCCAGTTCTTCGATTACCTCTTCCTCTTCCACCTCATCTACCTCCTCCTCCACCTCCTCAACCTCGTCCTCCTCGACAATGTCGTCCTCGGGCTCCGGATCGGCGGCGTCCTCGTCGAATTCCTCCTCGATTATGTCTTCGATGGGCAGCATGCCGTCCTCCTCATCCTCCTCGTCCGAGGTGGCCACAATGAGTGGCGGCATTTTCGACTTGCCGTTCATCACCACCGGCTGGGGCTCTTCCACATCATCCTCCTCCTCCATGTCCTCGTCCTCCACGTCCTCGACATCGTCGTCGTCGTCCTCCTCCATCTCGTCGACGTCGTCACTTTCGACATCGTCGTCGGAGCTGAGCACCTCCTCGACCAGATCATCGTCCTGGGCGAGGTTCATCTTGGGCGGCTGCTGCTGCGGGGGGACACCTTCCTCGTCCTCGCCCTCGCCGCCATCGCCCTCGTCGTCCTCCTCGTCCTCCACATCCTCCTCCGAGTCCTCCTCATCATCGTCGTCATCCTCGTCATCGCCCGTGCCAGAGGTCTCCTCCTCACCGGAGCTGTCCTCCTCGTCCAGATCATCGCTGTCCGGCAGAGGCTTACCCTCCGACTTGCCGACGTCGTCCGCCTTCTGATCGGGCTCCTCCAGCTTAGCGGTGGCATTCGATACCGCAACTGCCCCTGCCTCCTGCGGCTTTGCTGCCGCCCTCTCCGCCGCCTCCTTGGTGGCCACCGGCACAATGACCTCCTCCTTGAGATGGTTGTTGATGTGATTCATCAGCTTCTCCTTGCGCGACAGGTACTCGCCGCACAGATCACAGCCCCACTGGAAGGGGCAGAACGGTCGCACCACCTTGGCGTCCGCCAGCTTGTGGTCGATCCACAGCTCCTTCGTCTCGAACTTGAGGTTGCACCGGCGGCAGGAGAGATGGTCGTCCACCACGATGACCGGCGGCTCCGGCAGGTTGCTCACCTCGTGCTTGTGCAGCTCGTACATGTGCCGGCGCAGGTTGTTGTTGCTGATGAACGTCGAGGGGCAGTATTCGCACTTTAGTTCACGCTTCCGCTTCATCGACTTGCTCCCCAGGCTGGCGTTGCCCGACTGCTGCTGCTGCTGCTGAGGATGATGCTGCTGCTGCTGCTGGTGGCCCGCCGCCGACTGAGCCTGCTGATTGTTGGGGATCAGGCCCACCGCATGCAGTTCCCGGAGGTGCGACATCGAACTGTTGTTGTTGCTGCTGTGACTGTTGTTGTTGTTGCTGGTGGTGTGGTTGTTGTTGGTCAAATGTGTCGCTTCGCCGTCGATGGGATTCTGTTGGATTGTGGGAATCAGCAGGACAGGATCGGGGAAGAGAAGGGGGTTTAAAGACAAACAACTAGATTAGTAAGCATTCGATAAGGAACACTCGGAAAGTGCTCTCCGCTGGGCACCTGGAGAGGTCTGGGTGTGGAGTCAGAGCTGTGCCTGGCAAGCTAATCCTTCAGAGAGCCCGACTCCAAGTTACTCCCTCCAAGCCACCCAGCCGGATCGCTCCGTTCCGAGCGCACATCGGGTTGATATCTGTTTTTGCGACTGGTGCGGAGGCAACATCACTATCATCAATATCATCAGCACATCTAGAGTCCTCGCTCGTCCTCCTCGCTGCACAAGCTGCACAAAAACGCTCACCTGCTTGCTATCACCTCTGAAATGCCACTTGCGGTGCACCTTGAGTGCTATGACCTGGGGGAACGTCTTCGCGCACAGATCGCACGCGTACTCCCCGTTCTCGTTCTGCTTCTCGAGCTCCACCTGAAACTGGCCGGCGTCGGGCGGCCCATCGTCGAACATCGCCGCCAGGGGATTGTCCACGTACAGTTCCTGTTCGTGCTTCTGGATGTGCTTGGTGAACATCTCCTGGTCGGTGAAGCGGGCCCCGCAAATGGTGCACGCCACCTCTGGAATGCGTATCTTAACCGAGGTTGCTGTTGTGGTGGCCGGGGCCGGAGCTGGCGTTGATGCAACTGCTCCACTGTCGCCAGCTCCATCGGCCAGCTTCTGGTGCTGCTCATCCTCGTCATCGTCGTCGTCATCGTCGCCGGTCTTGTGCCGGAAGATGCCAGAGTGCAGGCCCACCTGCTTCTGGAGGGCAATATGCTGCTGATGCAGTGCCTCCTTCATCTGTTGCTGTTGCTGCTGCTGCTGCTGGAGCTGCTGTTGGTGGGCGCCGGTTGAGGTGATGGGCTTGCGGTTGCACGTCGGCGTGTGATTGTCCAGCATCTGGCGGTCGAAGAAGATCTTGCGGCAGAGCGAGCACTCGGCCGGGTCTGGGACCTGTGGATGCTTCTTATATCGATGGACCTGAAGAGAGAGAGGGATAGGGTTATCTTGGACTACTTCTAGTGGCCTGGTCTGATCCAACTCACCCATAGACTCTTCCTTCCACTGTAGACATTGCCGCAGTCCTTGCAGGAGTAGTCGTTGGAGTCGAACTCGTCGTGCGAGTTGATGTGGATGGCCAGCTTCTTGTTGGTGTTGAAGTTGGAGGGGCAGTACTTGCACTGGTACCAGTACAGCGGCGTGCTCAGGCTGACGCTGGCGGAGGTGTCTGTCAGGTCACCGCCCGCCGGCTTCAGGGTGCTGTCATCCACGACAATGCTGCTGTCGTCGTCCATTTTCGAGGAGGAGGAGGAGGCGGCGGTCGCTGCTGCCGATGCGGAGGACATCTTGTGGACACTGCGCTTGTGCTGCTGCAGCTCCATCTCGGAGCTGTACACAATCGAGCAGACCTCGCACTCGAACTGCTTCACGATCATCTCGTCCTTGATGGCCCGCCCGTGCACCTTGAACAGATGCACCTTGAGGCCCTTCTCGTAGGCGAACTCCGCGTTGCAGAGCTTGCACTTGATGAACTGCACGTTCTGCACCTGGTGGTCGGTGAGCATGTGGTAGCGGTAGGACTTCTTCGAGCTGAACCGTCGCTGGCAGATGCGGCAGCGCATGCGCCGGAACCGCCGGTCGGCCGCCTGGTCGAGGCTGCGCCGGAACACGGCCTGCTCCTGCGGCGTCTGGTTGGCCATGGCGGGCGGCACACCCGCCGCTGATGATGATGCCGCGGGCGTGGAAGAGCCTCCAGTTAGCAGGTCCATGCTGGTGTCGGCCGGGGCGGCCGTTATGGTCAGGGATTTGGGCGTCATCCTATTAGCCGCCGTTAGGGCGGCGTTCACCGAGTTGGAGGCCGTGTAGTGGGAGCGCATGTGGTTGGAGAGGCCGATGTTGTTGCTGAAGACGGCGTTGCAGATGGGGCACTCCTTCTGCTGTTGCTGCTGCTGGCTGGAGACGCCCACGCCGGCCAGGCTGCTGTTGTTGCTGCTGTCGTCCAGGCGCATCTTCTTGGCCACGCTGCCCGGCTCCTCGTCGTCGTCATCTGGAAAGGATCGGTCACCCAAAAGGATTAGTAAAACAATAGTGAAGAGTTTTCAAAGAAAGAAAAACATCAAGAGATGGGGGTACACTGGATGCAGGATGCGATAGCCAGGGGGGGGAGGCGGGAGACAGGAGTTCTGGAGGGGCTGGACGTCTACAATCTAAGCCTAATTACCGAGGGTCCCACCATTTGTTATCGACATGAGGTCCTTCATCACGTAGTCGTAGCGACCGGTGTACACGTTGGGGGTGCTCCCGTCCGCCAGCTTCACGGCGTCCGCGTTCACGATGTACTCGAAGCCGCCCGAGTGCCGGTTCTTGTCCACGCCGTGCACGTTGATCATGTGCTCCCGCAGGTACGAGATCCTCGGATAGCCCAGGCCGCACCGCACGCACTTGTACGTCTCCGGCAGCTTGTTCGGATGCTTCGATTCCATGTGCCGGAGCACGTTGTTGTAGTTGTTGTACTGCTGGCCGCAAATGGGGCAGACCTGGGGCATGCGGGAGAAGTACTGCGACTTCGGGGCAGAGCCATTGCCGCCGCCGGTACCAGCTGCAGAAGGATTCTGTTGATTGCCCGGCTTGGGCGTGGAGGTCATCGGCCCGAGGGCCACACTGCTGCTGCGCGATTCGTCCGCCGAGGAGCCCACTCCGATGCCCAGGGCACTGAGCAGGCTGCGCTTGCCCGGCGAGTGCTCCATGCTGTTGCCCGTGGTGGAGGCATTGTCGCTGCTGGCGCCTCCGCCGCCGGTGCCACTGCCGCCGCCCACGCCGCCCAGGTGGTCCTGGTAGACGTGCTCGAGGAAGCGCTGGTGCGTCTCCAGCTTGGCGTCACAGGTCATGCAGCGCAGGCGCACGATGCAGTCCATGTTGTTGTAGTGGCGCCGCCGGTCCACCGGGTCGGCAAAGTCCAGGCCGCAGAAGTTGCACTGGATCGAGTTGCTGTCCTTGCGCTGGACGTCCGCGTGCTTGTCGTAGACGTGCGTCCGGAACTCGTGCTTGGTCCGGAAGCCCTTGGGGCACAGCTTGCACTCGTACAGCTTGTTCACCAGCAGCTCCTTGGCCCGCAGCTTCTCCGGTCGCTCCGATCCGGCCGCACTGGAGATTACGTCGCCGGTCACATTGGGACTGGAGCCGGCATCCAGGTGGCCAACTCGCCCATCGCCCCCCTCGATCAGAGTGGCGTCCTTGGAGATAGAGGCGTTGGCCTTCTCCCGAATGCCGTGCAGCACCCGGTACAGGTTGATGCAGTTCCTCTTCTTCAGGTGGGAGATGAACAGGGCCTTGGAGTCGTTCATCTTGAGGCAGTTGAAGCACAGGTTGCGCGGCAGCAGCGGATACTTCTTGCGGACGTGGGCCATGAAGTTCTTGTAGGTGCTGAAGTACTTGTTGCAGCACCGGCACGTCATCGTCTGGTACTGCTCGAGGAACTCCTCGTTCTGCTCGATGAACTCCACCTTGTCGCGGGTGAGGTGCGCCCGGTACTGCTCCGGATTCTCATAGTCGTAGCCGCCGCCCTCGCACTTGATGAACGCATTCATCACCACCTGCCTGTACTTCTGGGTGGAGATGTTCCCGCCCGCCGCTCCGGCAGCTCGATTCGCCTCAGCGGTGGCTGCCTCGGCGGCTGCCCGCTGGATCTCCAGGGCGGCGGCCAGGGCGGGCGTGGGCTTGGTGATGGGCGTGTTGTGGGGCGAGTCGGTGGAGAGCTGGAACAGATTGGGGTGCAGGTTGCGTTCGTGGCGACGGGCATTGGCGCGCGTAGAGAACTGCAGGCTGCAGGCCCGGCAGCTGGCCACCTTGGAGTCGCCGGCAGCGGCCACATTGGCGACGGCATTGGCCGGCAGGGAGGCGGCTGCCGAGGCGGCGGTGACGCCATGTTGGGCCGTGTAGTCGTAGTCGGAGGTCTGCAAGGATTGGGGTCAGAGAAGGGTTGTGGAATCCCCGTGGGAGAAGGCTACTCACCATCAACGGCATGTCGCCCTCGTGCTCGGAGCGCTCTAGGAACATTGTGGGATCGACCATGTCGTCGGACTCGTCAATCGACTTCATCTGGTAGTCGTCGTCCGTGTCGATGGGCTCATCTTTGATGGGCACCGCTGGCAGTGGCTGCAGGGGAACCAAAACAAGGAGACACAGACAGAAGAGATAGAAGAGAGAGAGAGAGAGAGGATGGAGATTAGTCAAGAGTAGCCACCAGGTGGAGGACATGGTCCCTAATCTAAAGCTATAATACACATTGGAAAAAGCCTTCTAAGGTATGGAGCCTAGTTGAGTCTGGTGGGGATTTGGTTGGCTGGTGATGTTGTTGTTGTTCGTGGTGGTGGTGGTGGTGATGGGTGATGGTGGTCGTGGTCACGCTTCGAATGCACGATACAATTACATTATAGGAGTAGCGTCTGAAAAAGCGCAGCTGCTGGGCGGCGCTCTGCAGCGTCACCGGCATGAGCAATGGAGCAGATGCGGACGTGGACGTGGACGCGGATGCGGATGCGGTAGCGGTAGCGGAAGGTGGCGCAGCGCCAGTTGCGGCAGCCGACTGTTGCTGCTGCTGGAGGAGGAGGCCGGACAGGCGATTGTTGCTGCTGCTGCTGCTGCAGCTAGCTTGGCTGAAATCCAGTGGCAGTGCCACCGACAAGCTCTCCCTGCCACCAGCCACGCCAGCAGGCGGAGGATTGGGGGCGCCGGCGGCCGGAAGCGGCGGCGGCGGAGCAGGAGGGGGTGGAAGGGCAAGGGCAGACGGAGGAGCAACGGCAGCGGGAGCAGTCACGGGCAGCGGCGGCAGTGGTGGCACCGCTATATCCAGCGGCAAGTACAGTTTCGGCTTGAATTTCCGCAGCGTGGATGAGCCACCTGAGGCGGTGGCGGAGGAGGACGAGGAGGAGTTCGCCGTGGGATTGTGCCTTCCCTGTGGACGGAACTGCCTCTGGCGGCGCTGACTCTGCGGATGCGGATGATGGCGCTGTTGCTGCTGCTGGAAGTGATGGTGGTGGTGATGATGACCCTGCATCTGCCGGCCACGCTGGAGATGCAACTGCTGCTGTGGCAGGTGATGGTGATGGTGCCGCCGATACTGCCTGTGCTGCTGTTTCTGCTCCCGATGATGATGCTGCTGCTGGGAAGCGGACATGGACGCTGTGGTGGCTGTGGAGGAAGAGCTTGCTGCCGATGCTGCTGCAGCGGCTGCGGCGGCGGCGGCGGCTGCTGCTGCTCCTGGAACTTGCAGGAGCAGGGTCTGCAGACTGTGCTGCGCGGCGCTGGTGGTGCTGCTGTTCATCGACGACGATGACGAGGGCGGTGCTACCAACGACGACGTCGACGACGACGATGGTGGTGGTGGTGGTGGTAGTGGTGGCAACTGTTGCAACTGCTGTTGCGGCAACTGTTGCGGTTTAGGACTCACATAGACTGTTAGAGATTTTCGTTTCTTCAACGAGGGTATGCCGTCCAGAATGGCAGCCGCTGTGGCTGCCGCTCCCTGTATCCCGGCATTGTCCGTTTCATCCTCATTCTCCAGGACGTGCTGCTGGTTCTGGTTCTGGTTCTGTCGCTGCTGATGATGATGATGATCGGAGGCAGAGCCATTCTCGGCACTGTTCAGGTCCAGGTAGTTGAGCAGCTTGCTCTTGTGGATGCTACTGCTGTTGTTCGCCTCCAGCCACTGGCGCTGCTTGGTCTGGGAGATGAGGGATCGGTTCTTGAAGCTCTGCCACGAGTTGAGGTAGCTGATGCAGGCGTGGCATATCTGCAAGGACAATCGATCCTGGGGCGTGATCTGAAAGAGAAGAAGAAGTATCCTTTAGTTTTCTGTTAAAGTTCTTCAATTTGGACTTTCAATTGGAAGAGTTTGGAGGACATGGGTTGGTGGTTGGGGGTGTCCTGTGTGTGTCCAGCCATGCAGAGAATGCAGGTATTCCTTTGCCATTACCATTACCATCATTACCACCCCGGCTGGATGTCAATGACCTGCTTATAATTATATGCAAAACTGCACCAGCCTCCCACACGCACACACACACACACACACATCCTTATCCCCCCCTCCCTCCTCCACTGCGCAAATCATTCGAAATGTCCTGTTGCCTGATAACAGTTGTTGCTGTTGCTGTGTGCGCATGTTTGTGAGCCGCCAGCCTCCCCGCCGGTACATGTACTCCAACTCCAGTCCCCAGTCCAGTATATACTCCGGCGGCCACTCTTATGTACATCATACTAGCCACCTATGTAGGTACAATGGCCTGTTTTGTATGTAAAGGAGCCGATTTGCCGGGGATTAGGTGCAATTACAAAACAGCTCCACCGGCTCTTAAATCCACTTAAATCTCAATTATCGGAGACAACGCCACTGTAGCCACTGTAGCCAGCTCCTTGGATCGTAATCGCTTATTGGAAGTTTGTCAGTGGCGGGTGGATAGGCTGCATTCTTAAATAATCATGGCAGGACAATAAAGGTGGGTTACAGGGTTGCCAGGGGTACTTGGGGTACTTGGGGTTTTTAAAAACTCTCTACAAGGGTTGCCAGAGGGTTCTAAACGATTATTACATAAGGATCTTTTCAAGATAGTAGACTTCTTAAAATAAAATATCCTTATTTTTTAAAAGTAAATATATTTTAATTAAATAATCATGGCAGGACAATAAAGGTGGGTTATAGGGTTGCCAGGGGTACTTGGGGTACTTGGGGTTCTTTAAAAACTCTATACTAGGGTTGCCAGGGGGTTCTAAACGATTATTACATAAGGATCTTTTCAAGATAGTAGACTTCTTAAAATAAAATATCCTTGTTTTTTAAAGTTAATATATTTTAATTTTTAAATAATCATGGAAGGACAATAAAGGTGGGTTACAGGGCTGTCAGGGGTACTTGGGGTTCTCAAAAAGTGTCTCCAAGGGTTTCCAGGGCTTGGATACTAAAGGGTCGTCATACTAATCTTTGAAAATTAAAAATTTAAGAAATTAAGAAATAAAAATATAAGAAATTTTGAATTTTTAAAAAATAAAGACAGTACAAAAGGAGTTTATAGGGTTGCCAGAGCTGGGCAGCATTATTAAGTAATCTTTATAAGGGTTTCCAGGGGATGGGGGGGAGGGGTCTTGTTTATCATCTTTTTAAGATAAAGGTTTCCTAAGTTAAAGTATACTTGTTTTTGAAAAATACAATTTTTTAAAAGTATAAATAAAGGGGGTAATAGGGTTGACAGGGCTAGGCAAGATTTTAAGGAAGTCATTAAAAGGATTGCCAGGAGGTTCTATGGGATTATCACACCGATCCTTTGAAAGCTTTAAGAAAAAGTTTTTTTTTTTATTTTTAAATAAAGATTTTAAAAAATTTAAAATTTTTATTTAATTTTTGTATAATTTTTTAGGTTTTTTTGCATGATCCTTAACACTAGAGCTTAAAATCCCCCAAACGCTAGCCAACACTGGCGAATATCGATAACCGCCAACTCCAAAGGCGAACGAAAATGATCAAAACAAACCGCGAAAACGTCGGTTGTTTTGTTTTGCATATTCTCCGACTTTTGCGACTTTAGTTTGTTTTCCGATCTGCTGGTGGCTGGTTTTTGTTTAATTCCATAATTAAATAGTTGTTGCTATTGAGGCACAATCGCTGCTGCTATTTTGTAATTGAAACCCACGGCGATGCTGGACACACACATACTTACTTTATACAGACACAGACACACACACCTACATGTGTATATAAGCAAAAGGATATGTGAGTGACCTCCCCACCCCCACCACCTTGGGGTTATTGGCTTATGTACTACACCATGTAGTCCTCACGGATGAGTATTTTGGCTCGAAGGCTTCCCTTCCGCTCCATTCCGTTCCGTTTCGATAATATGTTGTTCATTCACCTTGCCCACACCTCTTCTCTTCCACCAGATACAACAGGAGTAGATGGAGCAGTAGGATGGGCGGCCAATGGCCAGGGGATGAGGTGGAGCCATCCATCCATCCATCCATCCCCGCTTAATATTGGACTTTAATGTGGTCAGTTTTGCCATTAATGTGACTTTCAAAGGATATTCAAGACAGAGGAGTCCTCCTCTTCACCAGATTAGTGGGAGATTCTGGTGAGATTTTAGAAAGTAACCCAAGGAAACAAAAAGGGAAACTCGAAGAAAAGAAAGACCTGTGGCAGCTGCCGCTCCAAAAACTCTCAAAAAAGATGAAAAAAAAAACATGGTTGCAGTTCACCAGCTGCCACTGCTACTGCTGCTGGCCACCACCACCAGGTGCAATAATCACCAGGCGCTGGACCATCTCTTACTCCATCTACTCCTCTTATTCCCTATTTCCTTTTCAACTGTCCGCCTTCGCCTTCGCCTTCGCCCAGAGTGACTTCCAACATGGAACGAGTTTCTGGCTCTGCGCTTCCTCCTCTCCTTTTGTGTCCTTATTCGCCCTGTATGAGCAGATGCTTGTATTATGTATGTATGTGTATGTGTGTGTGTGTGGTAGAGAGAGAGCATCCTGTCCTGTCCACTCCACACCATAGCCATAGCCATAGCCATCCTCATCCTCATCCAAAACGAACAAAGTGAAGACGTAGAAATAACCGAAAAGTAACCCTCGTATCTCGTATCTCGAGAGCAGGACTAGAGGAAGAGGAAGAGACGAAGGATGAGGATGAGGAGGAGGAGGAGGAGGGCCCTTTGTGAAATATTGAATTTCGTTGTAAATGGAAATACAAGCAGCAGTGGCTCGGAGCAGGAGCCAGGGCATCCGATCTAGCCAAGGATCTCATCCAGAGCAGAGGCGGTGGTGGGCAGGGGAAGGCCATAGCCGCACCAGGTTGCATCATCAAGGGAGAAAGTTTCCATCCAGTGACGAAATTCGATGCGGGCTGTAGGGCAGGCCGAGGAGGAGATGGAGGAGGAGGAGGAGCTGCCTTCGTCAGGAGGAGAAGCCAAAAACGAAACGACAAAAGCACCAGGTAATCTTGTCCCGGGCTCGGGTCTTGAGTCCCAAAAACCCACTCCAGTTGCCTCTGCCCTGCTCTGGCTCTGGGTCTGGCTTTCTGGTTGCTTGCTTCTTTGTTTTCCATGCCCGACCGACCGCCCGCCTGCCCTGCCCTGCTCGCCTGCCTGCCCTGCTCGCCCGCCTGCCATGCCGTGCCCTGCTCGCCTGCCTGCCTGCCATGTCTGTGTGACTCCCTGCCTCGGTGTGTGCGTGAGCAGGCAGAAACCCAAGAGTGCCGTCGTCGTCGTCGCCGCCGCCGTGTCGGTGTGCGAGCATGTGGTCGGTCCGCCTCCAGATAACGATGTCGGAGCTACACAGCAAGAGGAAGAGCACAAGAGCAGGGCAGGCCAAGCCAGAGCCACTGCCAGAGCCCCAAGTGCCAGCAGAAGCAGTCGAGCTAGCGATGACGCCAACCAGTGTGCCCCTCATCGTCGCCCGGACGACGCCCGCTTTGGACTCGCCCCGACTCGTGTGTGACCACACCACTGGCCAGCCGGTTAGCATCGCTCCCTGGCCTGGTCTGGCCTGGCCCGGTCCCCAGTCCCCAGTGGCCACCTACTATCTCCAATCTCGAAAACTCATTCTCGTTTCCGACACTAAATTAATCAACTAATCTGGCCAGTTTCGAAAAAAATATAAATATTCGGCCGATAACTTTTATCGTGGCTTTGGGACTACCTTTACAGTCGAGGTCAATGGAACAGGAACTTTGGGAGTGTTAATTATATAAAAATATTATACTATTATTTAATATACATTTACTTAAAAACTCTAAACGTTTTAGACAAAAAGAAGGGCTAAAGGTATGATTTTTCTTTAAAATAAAATTAAATTAATGATATTATATAAATTATATCATATTATTTAATATTTTTTTTTACCTACGAATCACATTTTTTGTGCAATATATGCTTAAGTAATTTTTTTTTAAAGACTTTTTGGAATATTTTTTATAAAAATAAATATTTTTCTCTATTTTAGGATACCGGAGTAGAACTATAATATTATTATATTATTATTATTATTATTTTGATGTATTATGATGAACTTTGAGTAATTAAAATATGGCATTTCAATTATTTATTTATTTATTTTAGGTAAATTGTATTATTTCATTATTTGATCTATAAACACCTATTTATTGAATGCCTATAAAATATGTCTATATATTAAGATCCTTAGTAATACTTTAAATACTTTTTTTTTAACGCTCATCATTTATATTATCATTTTGACATGAATTACGATGTTTACTCAGTAATTAAATTTTTTGTATTTAAGATATAAGCGAAGATATGAAAGAAATTAATTAGAAATTTATATTCATTTTAAAAAGAATATTAAATATTAATAGCTTTTTTTGAATAATTTAAATTGTTGATGTTTTGAATTATTAATGAATGAATTATTTTATTTAATGAATTATTATATAATTATTTGAGCCTTCACATTTAAGTATTTTTGAATTTAATTTAAGAATTAGAGTAATATATGTTATATCCTTTATCCTCAATATACTGTTGTATTCTAATATAAAGGGTCCTGTAGAATACTGTCCTATATAATATGTATTATATCCTACTATATCAATCAATAAAGCATATATTTGATAGAAAAATTGAGATAAAAAGATATATCGATAATAAAATAAAGAATTCAAAGAGTTTTACCAAAAAAAAGGGCTTATATGAATATTCATTTAAAATTTAAAAGAATTATTAACAATATTTTTTATCAGCTTCTAAATATGTTATAATCCAGTCCAATCTAAAATCTAATTCTTCTCTACAATTCTACTTTAAAGAAAAACTTTTTTAAAAAAGAAATCTATTCCATTGAAATTATTTAGTTAATTAATTAATTGTAATAAACTTGAATTTAAATTAAAAAAAAAAGTATTTAAATAATTAAATAATGAATAAATTGAATAAAATAATATTTTTATTTAAAATTCCCCCTTAAAATAAATATTTCCAACCCAAACCTCTTCCCCCAGCTCCTATCATATTTTTCGAAAGAAGACCTCTATTAAGAAAGCCCTATTCCACTGCCCTGTGCTGTGCCACTGGCTGGTCGTGCATCGGTGTGTGTGTGTGTGTGTGTGTGCCAAGAGCAATTGCCATGAAATCGAGCCCCGAGAAGGCAGGCCAGCCAAGCCAGGCCAGGCCAGGCAGGCAGGCAGGCAGACCGAACAGCCGGCACAGAGCACCGAGCACCGAGCAGACCGAGTACCAGTAACAAGCACCAGCAGCAGCAACAGACCCGACCCGACCAGGCCAGGCCATCCAGGGCAGAGCAGGGCAGGGCGACCCAGGCAGGGCACACACGCAGAAGCGGCGTGCTGTGAGCTGTGAGCTGGCAACTGGCGGATGGCGGATGGCGGATGTCGGATGCCGGGGGCACCGCGACCCAAGCACAACCAGCCATCGACCGATGACGACCAGCGGGCGTCCATTTTGTCGAGTCGAGAATGCCACACACAGGGGACGAAGCAGAGAAACAGTGGATGGAATGGATGGTTGGAATGGATGGCGGCGGCCCTTGAAAGAATCAATAAACCGAAGCTAGCGAAGCCGCATCCACGTCCATGATGCCTCCTGCTCCTGCTCCTGCTCCTGCTGCTACTCCTGGTGTGGTCGAAGGACGCTTGCGCGCAAAGAGAACGGACGGATGAGAGAGAAGCAGAAACGGAAGCAGAGAGAGAGCTAGAAAGGCTAGCCAGGCATCAAGGTAGGCAGGCAGGCAGGCAGGCAGGGCAGGCAGGAAAGCCAGTCAGGCCAGGGAGCCATCCAGGACCCAGGAGGGATAATGGAAACGGAAGAGATATGAATCGGTATAGAGCCTGTCCAGAAAACCAGAGGCAGCTGGTCATAGAGGACATTGAGAGGACCAGTTGGCAGTGGTGGCCAAGTGTGCCTGTCCAGGCCCAGCGCCAGGGCCATACAGTCACAGGCACATGTTTGTACATCGCAGAGGGCATACCAACAAACAAACAAACACACATACATACACACACATACACGATACACAAACACACATACAGAGGTAGCAGGCAGCAGCAGCGGCCTCGGCGCGCTCATCGTACTTTATGCTTTGTGCTGGCCATTCTCGTCTCCATGTCTTCATGCTCTGCTCTGCTCCTCCGCGTCTCTCTCGATAGCAATTTTCGAGCCACTCCGCTGGGCACGAAAGTGCTGGAAGAAGTGGATGGCGGATGGCGGGATAAACGGGACATGGGATAAAGGGATACTGGAGGAAATCGCAGGCAGGATCGCAGCCTAACCTCAAAGGAGGAGCATCTTAAGATGTTTCCACCTCCAACCCCTCTTGGCCTGGAATTCATGACCCAAACATCGTGACTTGGAAGCACGAAGGAAGGATGGAAGGAGGATGGAACGATGGAAGGAGGAGGAGGAGGAAGACTGAGCAAGAAAGAGGAGCTGGGCCTAACAGAACATCTTGTTCCTGGAGGGGGATTCATTGCTTGGCATTCCTAACCTCACTTTTGTGCCTGTCCAGCCGAGTCACGGGTGTGGCCACCAGAGATGCCGAAACCGAAACCGTCTCCGCCTCCACATCGGCTTCCGTCTCCGCCACCGACACCGTTTCCCGTCACCATCACCATCATCGCCATCGCCATCGCTATATGCCCACCTCATGCTCCACATCCATGCCCGTTTCGGTGTATGTATAACCATTTGGGGTTGGACACCCAGAGAGAGAGCAGAAGCAGCAGCAGCAACGGCGACTACGACTACGACGACGACGACAACGACGGCGTCGGATGACGACAGCGCGGCGGCGGCGGCGGCAACGGCAACGGCAACGACGACGACGACAACGACTACCACGACGTCGACTATGTCGGTGGCGGAGATTACGTGTGCTGGGGCCCTGCTGCTGCTCCACACACACCACCACCAAAGAGAGACCACCACACCATATACCACTTGAGTTTGCCACTCGCCCCCGGTCAAGACCTGACTCACCTTGATGTTGACGCAGTTGTGGATCTTGGTGGACAGCGGCTCCTTGTCCGCCGCATAGCTGTTCATGATCGAGATGCACTCCGACGAGGGGGCGATGCACAGGCGGCAGCAATTTTGTCGCTTCTCGATCTTCAGCGACGACGACGACGATGACGATGTGCCTGTGGCTATAGCTGTGGCTGTCACTGAGGCTGAGGATGTAGTTGTAGTAGCCATTGGCGATGTGGTTATAGCTGCAACTGTTCCACCTCCTGGCACAGCAGCTGCTACTGATGATGATACTGATACTGATGCTGCTGCCGTCGTCGTTGTGGATGATGATGATGTTCCTGGAATCGATGTCGTCGCAGCATCACTGCCCACAGGATTTGTGGTTGGTGGTGCTGCTGCTGTAGCGGCGTCGCACATTTTCTTTTGTTTTTCTTGCGAATTTTTTTGTAAAATTTTTTTTTGCTTTTTTTTTTGGACTACTTTTCGTGTTTATTTGTGCACGTTTTCACTTTTGTTTCGCGTCGTCGTCGTCTTCTCTCACTTTTTGCACTTTCCGCCTGGCGGAGCACATGGCGCCGCACGATCTCTATTCCCCCGGCTGCGGGTTACGGCTGCGGCGGCTATGGGTTCTCAACGGCCGAGTCTGGGTTCTCGCTTGCAACGCACCGCTCACACAGGAAAAAAAAAATAGTGTCTGTTGCCTGACGGCTGGACTGGCGGAGCTGAGGGATATTGAACGATTGAGGACTTGGGCAAACATCGCAGTCATCGATTGCCTCCTTGGTTGGCCCCCAATTTAGCACCTTTCCGCCCCCCATCAGCTGGTCACACTAATAGTGGCGACATATCGACCCTTTTCTAGAAAGGACCTCCGAAATGACCTGACCTCTGACATCAAATCCATCACTTAAAATGACCAGGGTTAGAAAACGTCGTCCCTTTTCCTTGAAAATAAATACTATTCTGTTATCGATTTAAAGTTCCATCCCTTTTGGCTTAACGGTTTCTGGTCAAATTTGACATTTTCCATCCTTGGAAGCTCTTAGCGATCGTTATTTTAATTTTTAATTTTAAAATAAAGAAAATTTCATGAATAAAAGGTCCTTTTCTTCAAAAATACTAACCTTTTATCGATATTTATCAAGGATAAACCGGTAATTTACTGTTAAGAAAAATACTAGACTGATTTGGATTTTTTTTTTTTGGCTTGCGTCTTTGTTTAATATTTCAAGATGAAAAATTAAACTTATTCATGAAAAAGAGAAAATTTGTATGTTTAATGAGAACAAATTATGTTAATTATTATAATTTCTTTAAATTTTTTTTTAAGAATCTCTAAGAGCAACCCTATGAGCATTTAGCCAAGTTCGCAACCCACTTCTGTTAACCTTTAACATAGCCCCCATGTTCTGTTAAGTGAGAGAGGTCTCCCACAAAGTTCGTTTTGTTTTTGTTTTGTTTTCTAATTTTTTCAACTAATTATATATTTATTTAATAACGCGCCCAGCTGTGCTTTAATTGTAAGTAAGAGCCACAAGAAATCAAACAATTGCCATATAATTACAAACGGCCTTGACATAGAACGCGGACGTTAACAGCTGTCTTTTATGGAAGACGAAGCGTGTACACACTTTGGGGAGATTCAGAGGCCTATTTCCTTATTATTAATATTCCCCTCCACTAAATGAATGTTTTCTTAGCTTTCCAGCGACACTAATTGATAATATTATCCCCTTATAAGTGGAATGTCTGTCGAATTTCATTCAGAATTAAAATGCTCTTATCAAGGGTATGTCGGAATGACTAGCACAAAAGGGAAACGCAAACCGGCTTGCAGCAACAACAACAACAGCCTGTTAATCGCTTCTCCTTTGTGTTTGTTTTCTTATGGGGGGACTTACCTTGAGCGAGATAACGGTGCATCTTGATTTCTTTTTAAAATTCACTTTTAACTTTTCACTTTTTTTAAAAAAATTGTATCTTTTTAAATTTTAATAATTTTGTCACTTTTTAGTTTTTAAGGAACTTTTTTTATTTTTATTTTTTATTAAATGCTTACAGCTCTGACTGCAGATCCAGAATGAGAAATATTTGGAGAATATCGACTAGGTCCAAATTTTGTTAAAAATTTTGAAGTTTCACTTTTTTTATGGCCTTCTTGCTTTTTAAAATATTTGAAAAAGTAGGACCTTACATTTTTTTGAATATGAAATATTAAAATACCTTATTTACAATTAAAATAAATATATTTTATGAACTATATAAACTATGAAATGATACATGAATATTCGATTTTAAATATTTTAAACAGAAACGTGTGGTTATTCATGTTTCTATGTCTAAAGATACTCGTTACTAGTTACTTTTATGAAATAATGATACCAGATACTCACTGGTAATCTACCAATTTTTAATAATTTGGTTAAGAAAAGGAAAAAAGGCCATTTTTTATGAGTTTATAAACTTAGAAATTATAAATTAATTGTAATTGGTTATTTTTAAACAGAAATCTTCCGGCTTTCTCGTTATTTTGCTTGAATTCTCGTTAGTTTTCCGATATAATGATACCAGATACTCACTAGCCTATATTTTATTTAAGAATCATGATTTTTAAGGTATAAAAACTAAGAGAAGATACAAGACATACAATACATAAAAGATACACACAATATTAAATTTCAAGTATTTCGTTTAAAAAAGTCTAGTTTTTCTCGTTACTTTTCTTATAATGATACCAGATACTCACTGGCTTTTGTATTTATTTAAGAAAGAAGATGTTTCTAAAGTTAAGTTAAAGTTCGTAAGTAGATAAACTAAGAAAGGATACCAAAAACATCATACTTCAAATATTTAAAATAAAGTGCAGCGTTTTCACTCGTTACTTTTATGCTATGATGCTACGATACCCGTTACTCACTAGTCCTAGCTTTTCATTAAAAAAAACCGTGTTTTTTAATAGTTTTGAGATAAAAATACCTATTTTTCTTGAAACTCGCCAAAAACTGTGTCCATCACATCGAATTGGGATTGTCAAAGGCTAAAATCGAAAGCTTATCAGGAGAAAGGCGAACAAATATGGTCATAAATCTCTTGGCAATTAATTAGGGAGCCATTTAAATTTAAAAAGTCGCGATGGAAATAGAAACTAATAGTCAGGGGCCAACTGGGCATCAATTGTCTGCCGATAAGGATGCCTCCCTTAAGAAATCCACATTTTTGTATAATATTATTTTTTATTAAGTGCAAAGAGCAGCCAAAGATTCGCCATAAAAAAAGGAAAACAAAAGGTTAAGGTCATTTTTGTGAAGCTGATATGAAGGAAAGAGGCATCCTTTTTTGTATTTATCAGAATGAGCTTCTGTTTCTTATTTATCATCCACCCAACGGAAGCATAAAAATGTGCTAAAAACATATATATTATTAATATAATTTATATATAAAAAATTAATACAAATTGTCACAAAATAATATTTATCAAACACTCGCCCACACATAATTCTTATGCAATTATATTCGTTTTTAATCTTTCTTCACAAAAATTGCAATAATAACGAGAACCCGGATTTGTTAACACTCTAAAAAATGGGTTCTTTATAATTAAAAAATTTTGGGATTGAAATTGGGTTTTTAAATTAAAATTTGGATGAAATATTAAGCGAAACTTTATATATAACTTAGTTTTAGGGTTTTATTTGTTAAAATTTGGTTCTTTTTCCAAGAAACGTTTATTTTGGTGTTCACAATGTTGCTTTTTTCGAAAACTATCCTTTTTTTCTTTAAATTTTAGCATTTTTTCCAAATTTTCTAAATTTTGGAATTTCTATAGCTTGAAATTGTTTTGAAAAATCTATATTTTTAAAGCTTTTTTTTCTTAAAACATTATCCTTTGAATATTTTTCCCAAAAAAAATGTATTTTTTTAAACCCAAAAATATAGAATTCTTTCCAATTCATTCTCTAACAATAAATCACTATTTATGATTTATATATATAATCCGATTATATATATTCTTCAAACCCAAAATCTGCAAGTAATTCTGCTGATCTATGGATCATGATTCATGAAATCTGACCCTAGATTTTTGAATTGTTTTTGTTTTTTTTTTTTAAAAACTTTTGAAAAGAGAAGAACGCAGCGGGTTAATACGGCCTGTTGCCGGCTTCTGTTATCAGGCCGTGTGGGTTATCCAGCCCTCCGGGTATAGGTTCTTATCAGGGTCTGGCGGGGATCTAGCGGGGTCTGTTGTCACGCCCGTGCCGGCTGGGTTTGGGTATAAAATGTTTCGGGCCGTCTGGAAGAACTTTAGTTTGAACGCGTTACCCGACCTAGTCGTGTCCCAGTCTCGTCACAAAAATCCTTCAAAAGTCCTCTCAAGGTATGTATGAAGGAACAATCTAGGGTCTAGAGAGGTCTCCCGGAATCCTTGAAGAACATCTTTTTTTTTGTTGTGAGAAAGTGTGTCCATAGAAACTATTTTTTTTTTGCAAAATTCTTAAGAATTATTTTGTACATTGGTGAAATTTTCAAAAATATTGAATATTTTTTAACAAAAACACTTTTTTCTTGATTTGTTTTAAGACTTAAATTCAAAATACCTTTGAAAAGTGGTTTAATTGTTTAGATTTTTATTAAGAAACCTGATTTATTTGAAAGGTTAGTAAAAATACATTTAAAAAATCGATTTCTAGACCAAAGTTCGAAACAGTTCAGAGTTTTCTTTTAAAAAAAAACCCAATTTTTAATTCAAAAACCCTTTTAAAGTTAGTTGTTAAAACTAAAGTCTTGTTTAAATTATAGAAAACTATTTTTTAAAAAATATTCAAGACCAAAAACCAATAAATTTTAACCACTGTAACATTTTCAATTGACCGATAAGAAAAAAAACCTTCCTGCCACTTGTGGCTTCTTAAAACTTGACCAATTCAATGGCCTTTTTCTTCAATTTGTTTTTTTTTTTATTCCAACATCAAAAGTCAATTAAACGTAGAACTCAACTCGAGTCATTAAAAACAAAAACAAAATGCCAGCCATGCAGTAAAAATAAAAAAAAAATGAAAACAATTCATAATTAATCGCAAGATCTCGGAGGCTGAGTGAGTGAAGGGCATGACGTCACAGAATCGCAGCTGCAATAAAAAAAATTAAAATAAACAAAATTTAAATTAAGAAAAAAAATATATATATACATGGAAATAAACTCGGGTTTTGTGTTCCGCTTGTGACGCCTCGCGATTCTCCGATTCTCCAAATCGATTCCCAGTTTCTCGCATTTCTCGGATTTGTCGGCTCTTGAATGTCAGGCCCCCTCGGAACTCGCAGCTAATTGCTCGTAAATCGTAAATAAAAGCCTCTCCCAGCGATCGCAGAGGCTTCAGTTGCCACTCGGAGTCTCACAGAACCAGACCAGATTTCCAGATTTTAAAGATTCGAGGATCGAACCCGAAATCGAGATCGAGATGTTTCGGAATACGTTTCTTGTTTTCGCCGTGATAGCCCTTCTTCTGGGAGTGGCGGTAGTTTTTGATTTAATTTTTTATTTGTGATTTAAAGCTTATAGCTTGTTTGATTAGATTATTGTGTATTATTGTGGTTTTTTATAGTTTTTAAGAATTTTTATAAACAAAGTTATAAAAACAAAGTTTAAAGTGGAAACAATAAACTTTTGGAAAGGGAGATCTTGACAGTGAACGTTTTGAGATATTCTGCAAATAATAATCACTTTTGAAACATTTTTTTCAAATATTTAAATAAAAAAAAGTCAATTTTTAATTTAAAAATGTGTTAAAAATCAAACAAAAGCGAAGATTTAAAAACTGAAGATTTCTTTCATTAAAGCCTAAAAATAACTAAAATACATACATATATACATACTTTCCTTTGAAAAATACAGGTTTTTAAAGTCTTTAGCTTTTTAAAAAAACATTATCCCATTTTGTACAAAATTAGGTCGATTTTCTAAAAATTATATTTCTTAAAAATAATCAAAAATCAACATATTTTGTGCCCTCTTTTTTGTTATTTTTGGAAATATATGTAACTAGAAGTATTTTTTTAGAATTTCCAAAAAGTAGTCCTAAAGAGTTGGTTACAGTTTGAAATATTCCTTAAACTTCCATTAACTCTTTCTTTTTCAAATACTTTTAAGAAATTAAAATACTAAAAAATGCTATTTTGAAAATAGTTCTTTCTTTTAGATCTTTATACAATTAAATCCAAAAGTAGTATTTTTTCAGAATTTCCAAAAAGGGGTCGGATAAAGAGTTGGATAGAGGTTGAAATATTCCTTTTTTTAAGCTTTTCTTTTCTTTCAAAAATTTGACAAATTAAAATATAAAAAATGTGTTTTTTCATCTTCTTTTGCTAACTTTATAAAATTACCTATAAATTTAGTAGTTTTTCAAAATATTCCACGCAGTTTTTAAAAAGGAGTTTTTTAAAAAGAAACTCTTAGTTCGATAGATTACGAAATATATCATTAAACTTCCTTTAAAACTTTCTTTGCAAAATACTTTTAAGAAATTAGAAATGCTATTTTTATAAAATTAAATATAAAAGTAGTCTTATTTCTGAATATTCAAAAGAAGGACTTAAGAAAGATCAAGAGAGTTTTCGAAAAGTGGTTTCAAAAATTGAAGTTTTTAAAGAAAAACCTGTTTTTTTGCTTTTTAAAAATTAAATTCAGTCTATTTTAAAACCCTAACACCAAAAACTAGTATTTTAGGCTAAAATATAACAAATATTTAAGTTATTTTTTAGTTTCTTAGTTTTTTTTTTAATTTAGAAAATTTTTCCTAAAAATACCACCACCTCTTCCCCTTATATATCCCTTTATTGCAGATGTCCTACAAGGTTGAGCCACTGCCCGACTCCTTCGCCGGCCTGGGCGAGGGTCCCCACTGGGACGAGGCCCGCCAGAGCCTGTACTACGTGGACATCGAGGCCGGCGGCCTGCTGCGCTACGACTACCAGGAGAACAAGGTCTACAAGGCCAAGATCGAGGGCGAGCCCCTGGCCGGCTTCGTGCTGCCCATCGAGGGACGCCCGCAAGAGTTCGCCGTCGGCTGTGGCCGTCGCGTGGAGATCGTCCAGTGGGACGGTGTCTCGCCCACCGCCAAGGTGGTGCGCCAGCTGTTCCAGGTGCAGCCTCTGCTGGAGAAGAACCGTCTAAACGACGCCAAGACTGATCCCCGTGGCCGTTTCTTTGGCGGCACCATGCGCTACATTGGCGACGAGTTCGAGTTCCGTCACGGCGAGCTGTACCGCTGGGAGGCCGGCGGCCAGACGTCGGTGGTCAAGGGCGATGTGGGCATCTCCAACGGCCTGGCCTGGGACGAGAAGGCCAAGAAGTTCTACTACATCGACACCACCGACTACGAGGTCAAGTCCTACGACTACGACTTTGAGACTGGAGTCGCCAGCAATCCCAAGGTGGTCTTCAATCTCCGCAAGTCCAGTCCCAAGGACCATCTCCTGCCCGACGGCCTCACCATCGACACTGAGGGCAACCTCTACGTGGCCACCTTCAACGGAGCCACCATCTACAAGGTCAATCCCAAGTGAGTATGATTATTTTTTACGAAATTTTGATAAAAGATTACTGACCTTGTGGTTCTATCGCAGCACTGGCAAGGTCCTGCTGGAGATCAAGTTCCCCACCAAGCAGATCACCTCGGCGGCCTTCGGTGGCCCCAACCTGGACATCCTGTACGTGACCACCGCCGCAAAGTTCGACCAGCCCTCTCCGGCTGGCACCACCTTCAAGGTAACTGGCCTGAATGCCACCGGCTATCCCGGCGTGAACCTGAAGATCTAGGAGCTGGGCGTCGACGTCTTCAAGCAATATAATGTACCATTCGAATCCTCAAGTGCAATTATATGTTATAATTTCTTAAATATCAACAAGATGTGGTTTTCTCAATGGGTTTGGGTTAGTTTTGGTTTAAAATTTATTAAAGTTTTTTATTAAAATAATTAAGTTAATTAAAAAAGGATGATTTTCCTTAAAAAATGACCTCTTTAAACAGGTCCAGGACTTAATAATACTCTATTTCATAAAAAAAGGTCTATTTTAAAATACAAATAACATAAAAACTTCAATTAAAACCTTATTTTCACTAAAATCAAGTTTATATAAATTAAAAACTAATCACTTAATTTAAAGTTTAGTAACAAACTTCCTTAATTAAAATGTTTATTCGCTTGGAACTTGAATTGCTGGCCAGATAAGCCAGAAAATGATTAAAAATGGCCAATATCTCTTCATATATAATTCCTTTATTTAAAAAAAATAATTAATGTATCTATAAGACATACATACTTTGGGATATACTTAGTTAAAAATGTATACAATTACGCTTAATAATTAGATGAATAATTACGGGAGAAGGGTTTAGGGAGGGGAATTTAGTTTACAATATAATAGCCGGTTTAAAATACATAATTCGATTGGTAGTCGAACTGGTCAACAAGTGGCGGCCAGAGATAACCGTTCTTTGCTCTTCAATTTATGGCCAATCTTCTAGCTTATCGCTGGGGAGCAGTCGCTGGGAGTCGTCTGGAGGACGTTCAAGCAGTTACTTATCGGCTAGCCTATATAGACCTACGGTTATATCTCCTAAGATAGCGGCGGTGCGGGGGATGATGGTAAATCAGTCGATGGTGGAAGCGGTGGCAGAGCAGGAGGAGGAGGAGGAGGATCACTAGGGGAATCCGAGTCCGAATCCATGGCCATCCATCACTCGTCCGACTCGGTACCTGAACCGGAATCATCGTCCTCCTCCTCGTCCGAACCGCCAGACCGATTGAGTCTCAACATCTCCTGGAACTCATGCACCCGGATCTTCTCCGGTACGATCTGCAGGAGAAACTCCAGGTTCTTTCTCTTGTTGACCAGCTGGGAGAGATGATCGTACTTGAGGGTCTCGGTGGAGGGCTGTTGCGAGGCCGGGAACGACTCCATGTACGCCTCGCTGGCCAAATGCTGGACAAACATCTCTGTGCACTTGGTCATGAGGAAGAGCACCTCGTTGGTGATCAGTCCCGTGTCCGAACTCTTCATGATCGTCCGCACCCGGCTAAGGGGCAGGAAGGTATCCGAGTTGGGGCCTCGGCCTGATTTGTCGTGTTCCGCCATTATTCTATGGTTATTTCAGTTGCCGGCTTAGTTTTTGTTGATCAGTTCGGTTCCTTAAGCCGCGATTTGACAGCCAAGCGGGAATTAGAGTGACCGGCTTCGTTTTTGGTGATCACTTGGGTTCTTTGAGCCGTGATTTGTTGGCCAAGCTGGAATTAGAGTGACCGCAGCAGGACCGTTATATTTATGCCAACGCGAAAGCGTAATTATCGAATTATTTTAGGGGAGTATTTTTTATTTCAAACGATGTCTCATTTATTTGTGTGTCAGACAATACAATAATCTATGCTTTTAAATACAGATCGACTTATTTTTTAAAAACCTGACAAGCCCAGGAAAGTACTTCATATTTTCATCGAAAATTTCAAGTCTAAAAATTGTATTTGAATAGTAGTAGCATTCGATTTAATAGTAAGTTCGTTTTTGTTTTTGAATAATACAAAAATTACTTCGTTTTTAGCTTGAAAAATGCAAACAGTGGCATCCTTGGGAATCCTGGCAGTTACTGGTTTTTAGGATTCTGAACTTTCCGAAGTACGGTCGCACCAACAAAGCGGTCACACTAGTCGCATCTTGGAAACATTTCTATCAAATTTTATATATAAATCCGAAATTATATATTGCGCAGGCAATCTAGAGATTGTTATATTGGCGCACGTCTTGATCCAGATTCCAAATCGTCCGTCAGAGGGATCTGCAAGCGAAAATCCAGCGAAACTTTCCAGTTAGCGACACACAGCTACAACAACAGCGTGGAAGTGGCAGTGGTAGTGAATGTGAAAGCGAGAGGCGAAGAGCAGAGAAGAAGAACGCGAAAGAGAAACCGGAGAATTCAGGAGCCACGAATTTGAAGAAAACCAGCAAGGATCAGCAGCAGACCAGACCAGGCCAAATCCTGAGCGTATTCTATTTTTTTTTTTTCGTTGGATTTTCTTTCGCCCCCCCTCCCCGCCCGACTTTCGTCGACTTAGCGCACTTTTATTTTTCCGTTCTCACCGTTGTTGTTGTTGTTGTCTTGTTGTTTGTGCCAAGTTGTGTAAACAAGCAAAACATAAAGCGGCATAGCATCCGAGAAACAGACATCCACATCGACATCCAGGTCCAGACCAGATCCGAGCAAGAAATCCAATTAAAAATGGCCGCTGCCGCTGGGAGCGCAGTGAACGTGAATGCGGTGAACGACTGCTTCAGCATTGGATCCACAGTGGTCTGTACGACCTGTTTCAACGAGGAGGTGGAGGGCGAGGTGCTGGCCTTCGATCACAACACAAAGATGCTAATCCTGAGTATCCTTTTACAAAAACAAACGAAAAAACAAACTGCCTATCCAGTATCCAGTCTGTTGGCAATAGCTTTAGCTCATCCAATCTTTATATAATAGATATAGACATTAGACATGCCACATTTGGTTCTCCGTACATCGCGCCAAAATCTCCTCCTGCCCCGTTTCCCTCTTCCTTCTTTTTTTTCGTTTGAAATCTAGAATGCCGCTCGAAGTCCACGGAAGAGCTGAGTGATATCTATGTGAGCAACCTCTCGCTGTGCAGCAACGTCCAGGTGATCAAGGAGTGCAATGGCAACTTTGATGATCCGCAGAAGCTCAACCTGGAGCAGGTAAGCATTGGACTAGGACAAGGATTAGGAACTTATAGTCTCTCCTACGGATAGATGCTTTTTGTTCATTAATAGGCTTAAGATATAGTTTTTTAATGTATAGTTTTTAAGAAAAACATGTTATATCTTCCAGAAAATAATTTTATTGTAATGTTAGGCCTATTTATTGCCACATGGGAACTTGATCTTCCACATTTTTGTGGAGTTTTTAAATGAAAAGCTTTCCTAGATGGCAAGGCAATGGAGGTACTTCTTAGCGGATCGAATGTGTATATAGTTTATTATTTTATAATGTATAGTTTTAAAGGAAAACATGTTTTTTGTATGAACTATGACCCTGTCTTCTAGAAAATAATCTTATTCTAATAGTTATCCCATTTCTTGCCAACTGATATGATCTGTACTTAATATTATATATATATTTTATAAAGTATAAGGAGACAGAACCCCTATATCATAGCCAGAATATTGTATTATATTCTTTGAGAGTCACTACCTCCTCAAGGGGATAACTTCTATTTAAAGATTGATAAGAAATATGATTGTATTTCCTCAATATATGATCTCATTATTTATAGTTATACCTCCTAATAATACCTACTATTTTTTTAGGTAAAAATGCGATTGCGTAAAACAGTGGAGCGAAGACAGGACTATCTGAAGTCGAAGAACGCGGATGTCAGTCCAGAGGCACAGGAGCTCTATAGAGCGATAGCCAAACAATACGGGGTATGGTCGTATCCCTAGCTAATAATAGAAACCCTATTGACTCTCTATTTACTCTTTAATTTTAGTACAATGAGGTGTCCTGGCAGGGACTGAACATACAGATACTGAACGAAGTAACCATCTCGCCGCCGTACCGAGTGGACAACGTCGTGTCCAGCTCGAACAACGAAACTTCATGCAATTACATCAAGCGCATTGTAAGCTAATCATTATGATTAGAATCTATGATCTTTAATCCATGTTATCCTTGTCCAGATCAAACAGTTCTTCAACACGAGACCGTCTCCAGCTCCGGAAAGCGGCCACGGTGCTCCGGCCAGCACCTCGTCCGCCTCGGTGTCCCCCACGTCCTCATCTCTGTCGTCGAGTAACGCCGCCTCTGGTTCGCCGGTTCCCGCTAACTAATGATAAATAAGTAACAAAACAAACAAAAAAAACCAACAAAAACAACAAAAAACAAAACAAACAAAAAACAAAACAAATACAAAACAACACAAAAAAGAAACAGAAGCATGCTTCTAAAAGTACAGACCGTATTTCCTTTTTTATTTCGGTGCTTGGGTTCGAAATTTTCAGGAGGAAAAGGATATTTCAAGGATTTCAAAATTCCACTATTTTTTTTAAGATAAATATTTATCTTATTATTTAAATTTTAAGAAGAATATTTAAAAGATCTTCTGGAGAATCTGAAGAGTCTCTGAATTCCCAGAATGTGGAGCAATTCGAAGCGTATTTTCTTGATATGTGCTATAAATTATAGCTTCTTTATGAAAATAATTTAAAAAAACCATTTATAACTAATTTTAATTCAAAATTTTGGAAAATTGGTTTTAAAAAGATCAATTTTTTAAAGTTTTCAACTCGAAAGAACATTTATGACCAAATACAGTGATATTTTGGAGCAATTCTAAGCTTACTTTCTTGATATGGGCTATAAATTATAGCTTCTTTATGAAAATAATTTTAAAAAACCATTTATAACTCATTTTTATTCAAAGTTTTGGAAAATTGGTTTTAAAAAATTAAAAATCCGCGTCGAAAACCGCCTCGAAAAAAACATTTATGACCAAATACAGTGACATTTTCGTTTAAAATGTAAGTATTTTTTATATTAATAAATTTATATTAATAATTTAACCGTAAAAACAATTTTATCAAAATGATATAATTTATTTTCATAATTTTTTCATTATTTTGTTTAAATATTAAACATTTTTGTATATATTTCAACCAGTATTATGGTTTATTAGCTTCTATTTATAAAAGATCATTAAGTAATTTTTTTTTTATTATTTTTTGAAAATGTATATTTTATTTCATTTTTTTAAACCTCATCCAATTGTCTAATATACAAAACAAGGATATTAATCAACCAAAGTAGTGAAAACAATCTCGAGGTAGTTGTTATTATAAACTATCATTTCGTTATCCTCCGTAAAGGGATTGTATAGAGGTAATATTTCGCGATATGGATTTTCCATAACGTTGTACGTTCGTTTAATGGCGATACTCTGGCCTTTAGCCAATACCTTCACAGCCGTAAAATCGGATAATGCCTTGGCCTGTGATAGGGAAGTGTAACAAATGGGAACGCCGTAGTTGTGAAGAATGTCAGTTAGGCTTTCCTGCCAGTCGAAGGAGTCCGAGTAGTTACTCTCCACGGGTAATTGCTTAATGAGTTCCTCAGTCATATGGTTTGTATCAAGAAAGTCTGGTTCAAAGAGAAGAATTAAATTCGGAACCGTACTCTTGGTCGTCGTCAAGAATCCGGAAAAGTCTGTGGCATAAAACCTCTTCACGACGCTTCTTTTGGACTTTCTGTCACGATAAGTTTCAGGACTTTTCGCACTTAGTCCTGGTCCAATAAAATATAACTCTAGCATCATAATACTTTGGTACATTGTTAGTAGAAATCTTAAATGCATCTCCTGGAAATATCTCAAATGGTCATCAGTGGCGCCCATCACATAAATGATGACAGGTTTCTGGTCACAGTCTTTCTCGAAGGAGGCGTGTTTTAGGGCAAAACACAAGCTTGCAATTCCACTAAAGCTGGAACATGTGCTAAAGAGATCATACTGGTTAAAGCTGGTCCATGGATTATTGCCAATTTTTATGGAGGTGGCCTGATAGAAGGCGTCTATCAGATGACTTTTCAAAAAATCAGCTACGGGCTTGAATTCCTTGATACCAAGTCTACTGTCCAATAGGCGGAATGGGCTGAACATCATTGCAAGCGTTCGGCACTCGGCTTCACCGTGACTAATCATATCATCAATGCGATGATCCGGGGAACAGTAGGCCACTGCGCCACATCCAAGACAGACTTCGGACGGTTCTAGCTTAAAGCAAACTCTGCAAACGGCTGGCTGATCGATCAGAATGTGTTCCCGCCACAAAAGCGGGCGCTGTAACTTGACCTGAAGAATGAACTTGAGCTGTGCGACGACCAGCATCAACTGATTGAAGCCTTCAATCCTTCCTCGAATCAGAAGCGGAGTGGTAATCCCCTTGAACTTCATGAGATCGGCTAGCACCCGACAAAGTGGTTCGTGTTCCTTGCGATCATCCACTAAGTGTGCCACGCTGCAATATCGCTGCATTTGGCATCCTTTGCATGTGACTTTCCCGGGTAAGACAGCTCCATCCTTATTGGCGAAAGGAACGAGGGCTTCCAAGGTTTTGGCGTTATTTCGAAAGCATATAATGCAATTATATGTCGGCCCATAGCATTGTCTCAGGCTTCCCATAATTCGTGGTGCATTCCTTATAACTGCCAGTAAGTAATTAATAGTTTTTTATAAAAAAAATTAAAAACTTTTAGAATCTACTACTTACCGGCATTCAGTCAGCTGTTGATTATCGATATCGATAACCGATAGTATTTTTTCCCGCAAACCTGCAACGGTCACACTGACCTGTGTTTGCTTTTCCCAACAAGCCGCATTTTTTTTATATTTTAGGAAATAAACTAAGCAATAGGTTAGCCGGCAATGGAGGATGTACAAAAACACAGCGTACACACGCTGATCTTCCGCTCCCTGAAGCGCACCCACGACCTGTTCGTCTCCAACCAGGGAAACCTGGCGGAGATCGATGAGAAACTGTAAGTAATCCAGGCTTCCATTTTAAGAGCAAAATAATGAATAATTGTGGTTACCCTGCCAGGGAGAAGCTACGGCGCTCGATCAAGGCCAGGGATAGCTACGGACTGGTCCTGGACAAGGCGGGAAAGAGCAGTGGGGAGTCCAGAAAGGCGGCAACTGACAAGCCACTGGCCATTACAGATGGCAGTGGTGCGGATATCGCATCCAACGCCGCTGGTGGAGGCTCCGGCCAACTGACAAAATTCAATCCCAATGGTAGGGGTGTGGAGAAGCCGGGAGCACCTATGGCCATCGGGCAGACCCACACATCGCTGGTGCGCGCCTCACTGCCAAATAATGGCAGCGACAAGCCGGGCAATGGAACCACCAACCTGCAGCTGATACCCAAGAAGGCGCCGACCATACCCAAGCCCAAGTGGCACGCCCCCTGGAAGCTGTCCCGCGTCATCTCTGGCCATTCGGGCTGGGTGCGTTGCATCGCCGTGGAGCCGGGCAACGAGTGGTTCGCCACAGGAGCGGCGGACCGTGTCATCAAGATCTGGGACCTGGCCAGCGGCAAGCTGAAGCTCTCGCTCACCGGCCACGTCAGCACTGTGCGCGGCCTGGCGGTCAGCGCCAAGCATCCGTACCTGTTCAGCTGCGGCGAGGATCGGCAGGTCAAGTGCTGGGATCTGGAGTACAACAAGGTCATCCGTCACTACCACGGCCATCTGTCGGCCGTCTACTCCCTGGCGCTCCATCCCACTATTGATGTATTGGCCACATCCGGCCGCGACTCCACGGCCAGGATATGGGATATGCGGACCAAGGCCAACGTTCACACGCTGACGGGCCACACGAACACGGTGGCCAGTGTGGTGGCCCAGGCTACCAACCCCCAGATCATTACCGGCTCCCACGACTCCACGGTGCGCCTGTGGGACTTGGCCGCCGGCAAGAGCGTCTGCACGCTGACCAACCACAAGAAGTCTGTGCGCAGCATCGTCCTGCATCCGTCGCTCTACATGTTCGCCTCCGCCTCGCCGGACAACATCAAGCAGTGGCGCTGTCCGGAGGGCAACTTCGTCCAGAACATCTCCGGCCACACCGCCATCGTCAACTGCATGGCGGCGAATAATGATGGCGTCCTGGTCTCCGGCGGCGACAACGGCACCATGTTCTTCTGGGACTGGCGCACCGGCTACAACTTCCAGCGCTTCCAGGCGCCCGTCCAGCCCGGCTCCATGGACAGCGAGGCGGGCATCTTTGCCATGTGCTTCGACGAGTCCGGCAGCCGGCTGATCACCGCCGAGGCCGACAAGACCATCAAGGTGTACAAGGAGGACGACGAGGCCAGCGAGGAGTCGCATCCAGTCAACTGGCGGCCCGAGTTGCTCAAACGCCGCAAATTCTAGGCTCTAATAGTACATAAGGTTAGGGTTATTTCCCACGATTTTCCAAGCGACTTGATTAAAGGATATTTTCATGAAAATTATGGGACTTTTTTTTTCGAATTTTTGGAAAAGATTATTCTTCTAGGAGGAGTTCTACGAAGGTACTTCCAGGATTACTAACCATACCTGGTATTAGAAGAGGGGTTTCTAAAATATATATTCAAGATATTTTTTATAGAATTTATTTTTAGAATTTTGAGATTATTCTTCTAAAAGGGGAGCTTTTTTTACATTTGTTTTAAAAAGATCCTTAAAGACCCTTTTTTTGAAAAATACAAAAGCAATAGATACAGAATCTATATTTCATATTTTATGATTTTGTTTAAAAATATCTAATTTTTGCATTATTTTCTAAACTTTTATTTAATAAACAAGGAGGAGTACTATACTATACCTGGTACTAGAAAAGGGGTTTATAAAAATTACATCCTCAATATACAATATGTACACAAGCTATTTTTTGTAGAATTTCTTTATGTTTTCTGTATTTGTAAAAGATTATTCTTCCAAGAGAACAATATCTACAAAAATAATATATAATATAATATTTTTTAATTTTTTTTTAAGTTCCTCTATTAAAATACAATTCTTGAACAGAAAGATGAAAAGAAATCCGAATCTTATTTTTGAAAATACCTTTTTTTATTGTTTTTTTTTAGTAAATTTTATTTTAGTAAATAATAAACTATACCTTATACTACACTATACCCTAGTATAGTATATTAGTATAGTATAGAGAGACAACTATAACTTACCTGGTATTTGAAGTGAGATTTCTAAAAAGAAAACCTTTATTACTATGATTTTCTATATTGTTCTTCCATGGATTTCTGTTTTCTAGATTTTGAAAGGGTTTTCTGTATAAAGCATATGTTTAAATATATATACAAATTTTTTAAAGTAAAACAAATTTAAATTAAGGATGATATTGACAGATGAAGTAGGGTACCAAGAAAAACGATCCTTCCTGGATATCATTAATGCATCCAATATCATTTTGTATCTCAGAGGTTTTAAACTTTTTTTTTTTTTAGGCTTTTCCTAATGTATTTCTAGATAATTAAATTATTAATAGGGGTAATATTCTATTAAGAGGAGAATATATTCCTTTAAAACTACAAAAAATACACAAATATGGACGAAATTTTATTTTTTTTAAGATATAAATATACCATACCTGGTACTCGAGGAGGGACTATCACCCACTCAATAGAAAGATCCCGGCAACAGTACATGATAATTTTTATTTAATTAGCCAAAAAAAAAAATCCATCTTGACAATATTTTAAATTTTATTTTCTACACCCGAAAGGTAATTTTAAAAAAATTTCAAAACAAGAATGTAAAAAAAGTAAAAAACAAATAGCTTTTTTTAAATAAAGATAATTCCCAGTTTGGGGATTTATTTTCTCAAGTTAGGATTTGCTTAAAATTAGGAAACTTCTTAAATCATATGACATTTTTAAGGGATTTTGTATTTAGTTTTGGGTTTTCGTTTTTTGTAAATTTAAATTGTAAAAGACCAAGTTGTAAAAAATAATAAGGTTTATGTTGTGTTTTTGTCCTAAAATGTATACAATTATGGGTAACAACTTATTTGAAATATAAGAGATATTTCCACATTTTTTCAATATAATTCTTGGTATTTTATTTTCGCTCGTTCTCAGTTATTTGTTTAATTGTTTTTTTTTTTACACATAAATAATTTGAATTATTTGCTGCATAAATAATAATAATAGCATAGTATGGTATATTATTAAAATATGGTTTTCTTTCTCTGTTTCTCCGTTTGTTGTAATTAGTATTCGGCAAAGAAAAAGCACTAAACCATGGTATTATATTTATTTATTAATTAATAATTATGATGTCCTAGTCCTTTGCGTACACTTTTTTTATATCATTTCATGTTTTAAAATCACAAATAATGTTGTTTGAAACAAATGTTATATATTCTCATCTTTCTGTCTCTCTCTTACTAGCTTGTGTCTGTCTCTTTTCCTTTTTATGATTATCCTTCTCTCTCATTTGTTTTTTTTTAGTATTTAAGCGCAGAGTTTGACTTTTCTTTATTTTTTTAGTATTTATTTTTAAAGTTATACTTGTTACTTAGTTGTGTTTAATTTTTTTTTTTGTTTTACAGCTGATTTTGTATAATATATATATATAATTTTCTTCTTAATTTTCTTTTTGTTTTTGTTTCCATTTTGTTACATATGTGTTTTGTTTTTTTTTCTCTTTCTTTCTTTTCCAACAAACGCTTATTTACAACGGTAAAAAGCAGTCGGCCTTCCAGTCGTTTCCAGGCGGCAAAGGAAACGGGAAACGGGCAACTGGAAACCGGCAACAACAGCTTGTGCCCGATATTATATTATATTATATATATATATATCTGTTTAGCATAGAAGACACACACATACACACACACACACACCCACACGTAGTTAACGCCTAAGCCTAAATTGAAGTTACTTTAATTCAAGCACAAGTCAATAAAATTGTAAAAGCACAGGAACAGGAACCGGAAACGGAAATGGTAGCTCTCTGGCAGGTTGGGTATCCTCCATGTTCATGTGACTGCTGTGGCTGGTAGGCGGAGGGGGCATGGTCGAGTTTTTAAATAAATAATTTTATGACTTAGTAGGTATGGTGATTGTATATAAAAAAAAAAAAAAACACATAAATTTAAAATAATAATTAAGCAAACTTTTTAATAATTAAATAGTGTGTGGAGGCGGAGGACCATCATCGCTGCTGTTGCCACTGCTGCTGCTTGTTGTGTGTGTGTGTGTATTGGGGAGAACATGGTACCATGCTCTTCAGCTCACTTGGTTGTTGCCTCCTTCCACCATCATCGGTTAACCCTCCACCCGCCACCGCCCATCCCAACCATCTACCACCCGCTTGCCAAATGCCAGTGTTTCTCCATCGAACTTTTTTTTTTAGGGGCTTCCAGAGTCCTCCTCCTCCTCCTCCTGTTCCTCTTTAGTTGTAAATCTTGATGGCCTTTTCGGAAAAGTTTAGGGAGCTGCGCTTGCGCGACTTGTTGATGTGGTCCAGCCCAAAGAACGGCAACTGGCCGGTGGTCCAGGTGCGATACACCTCCAGATCCACCGGCGTATTATCATTCACATCCGTGTTTTGGCCCATGGTGATGACGGAGAACTTGTAGTTCTCCCATTCCTTGTCCGGGACGTTCAGTCGCTTCTGGATGCGCTGCTTCAGGGCACCGTACGGCTCGTTGTGTCGAGCCTTGGCCAGGAATGGAACACCGAACGAATTGTAGAGCTCCTTGCTAAAATGGGCCACCGGCACCAAATGCTCATTCTCCGCCAGCTGCATCTCGTCCGCCGGCACCTCCTCGATGCGATACGTCTTCTGGGCGCCCTGCGTCGTCGTTATCGACTCACTGGTCTTCAGTAGCGCGTCCAGCGGTACATCGTCCTTGCACACCGTTACGATCTTGTGGTTGCTCACCTTCATGAGGCGCAACTTGCGTCGGCTGTTCTCCGCGAACGTGATCTTCTTGGCCGCCTCCTCCAGCAGGCCCTTGACGGTGTCGTTCTTGTTCGGATAGAGGACCAGTTCCTTCTCCTCCTTCAGATCGGCACTGACCCAGACGCACTTGAACTGCTTCTTGTTGTCCAGCTCGTGGATGCTCAGCGAGAGCCGCTGGTAGAAGATGCGCTTGGGTGTGCTCTGTTTGGTGTACGAAACCAGATCCTTGACGGTGCCCTGCTTAGCGAAAGGATGTCATTAGAATACCGTTCTGAATCCTTTACGATCCGTACCTTAAATGTGTAGGGAACCGCATTGCCCGCCGTCTCCTTGTAGTTGTTGATGCACATGAAGAACTGCAGCTTCTGGGGATCGGTGTTCAGCCGCTCGGCGACGGCGTTCGTGAGCTGCTCGTAGTTGTAGCGATTGGATAGCTCCAGCGTAAAGTCCGGCTCGTTGGGGTTGCACTTGTCGCTGAATATGATCTCGATGCGGTAGACCAGGTCCATGAAGTAGTCCTCCACGGTGGCCAGGTCCAGCTTGTCGTCCACGCTCTCCCGCTCAAAGATGAGGATGTGGCCCTGCAGTTGATCCTGCGGTATGTACAGTACGCTCTCGATCGGCTCGCAGAGATTGGGGATCTGAAATTGGGGACCCAAGTAGTAGTGGTAGCTACATGGAATGACCAGCGGACTCACCTTCTTGTCGGCATACTCATCAAAGACGGTTAGCTCGGTGTCCGGGTCGAAGCCCAGCTTGCGATTCACGTCCGGCACGAGATCGATGAGCCGGCGGCTCTGGGGCTGCTGGGTGCAGCCGATGTAGTTGAGACGCTTGTTCCGCGCATCGTAGTACTTGAGGAAGAGCAGGACGTCCGTTTTGGGATTGAAGGGCGGCAGGGGGGCGGGATTCTCGGGCGAGGCCAGCTCCAGGAAGATGACCCACGGCTTCTGGGAGGTCGGTATCTGTTCGATGGTGCGGGTGGCCTCCGCCTCGAAGTCAAAGTGCAGGAACTTTTGGGTCTGGGCGGTGCACATGTTCCAGATGCGCATCCGATCGCGCGGCACCCCGAATCCCTTCACAAACATGTCCACCAGCTCGTCCACCGTCTGGTTCTGCTTGAGCTTGAACGGCCGCTGGTGGGTCTTCTCCAGATCGAACAGGCGTCGCTTCTGCTGCGCCTCAAAGTACTCCTCGAGGATGACGTGCACCGACACATACAGGTTGGCCTCGCTGCGCTCCTTCCGGCGCGCCATCTCGATGCGCTTCTCGAGATCCAGCCGCTCCACCAGATCACTGGATATCTCGCTCTCCTGGATCTCCCTTAGCACCCGGTCCAGCTCCGACTGCCGGATGTAGACCAGCATGTAGGCGTTGCTGCACTTGGCGTGGAACGAGATCTCGTCATCCATGCCGCCGTAGTTCTGTTCAATGGCCTCCTGCTTCCGGCAGCTGGACACCACATCGTCATCGAACTTGAACCATCGTCCATCCGCCTTCGGATTGATGAAGACGACGTAGTGCCCACCGTGGTTGTCGCCCGAGTGCACCAGCACAGCGTGCAGCACATAGTCCGCCGAGGTCTTCTCGCCCTCGGCCAAGTAGCGGTCCAGGTTGATCTGCTCGTAGAACTCGAAGCGATCGTTGTACTTGATGGAGCTGTCGGTGATCGGATCGTACTGGAATCGCATCAGATGCAGGTGCAGCACCGGCGGGAATGACGTGAAGATGACGCCCTTGCTGGCCTCCTGGAAAGGTGGACCCGAGAAGGTAGGGATTAGTTTCAGAACTTGTTGGAATTGGAATTCAAGGACTTACCTGGAGACCGTGCACTCCCGCATCGTACTTGTTGTCGCCCTCGAGCGTCTCGGAGGCCACATAGTCCTGGAAGGAATCATAGATGTTCTTCTTGTCCTTGATGTTCAGCTGGATGTCGTAGAAGGTCTCGTACCGGGTGCTGTTGTAGTCCACGTTCTTGCACTTGATGTACGATGACATCTTGCCCTCGAACAGGCCCGGAATGGTGCCCTCCAGGCAGGTGCCCTTCATCTTCGACTCCAGCTTGTCGAGGAGGACGCGCAGGAACTCCTGGACGTCGTGTTGCATAAACGAATCGAGAGTCTCCCAGCCAAAGGACTTGGTTAGCTTCTTGGTGCCCACCGGTCGGTCACCGAATTGCAGTTCGTGGAATACGCGCTGGAGGGAGAGACCCACCGACTTGGTGCTGTCATCGGCCTCCGTGGGTATGCGATAGACGGCCAATCTCAGGGAGTTGGTAAAGTAGAGCGTCTGGAGCAGGGAGTTCATGTAGCAGGTGGCCCCCTGATTCTTGAGGCCCACATAGCCGGTGTGCTTCTTCGAGTCCCACAGCACGCCGTGCGGTGCATCGGCAATCACGTGCACCTCCAGGGTAATACTATTGTTGTGGATATAGGTCTTCTCCGGATCCTGCAGCTCCTGCCAGGTGATAAAGTTCGAGTAGCCGTAGTCGTTCTCCTTCGAGTAGAACAGATGCTTGATCTTGGCCCGCGTAAATGGCTGGGCGTCCGGCTTGTGGCACTTCAACCGGAGCTCGGCAATGGCGTTGCACGACCAGGTGGGCGAATCGTTCTCTCCGTTGCACTGCAGAAAGAAGCCCAATGCCCGATCGTTCGGTATGACCATGATCTTCCACGGCAGCATCCGGACATAGACGGGCGGCGATAGACGCTGCGACTTCAGCTGCCCGACATTCTCGACGGTGAAGGAGAACGTGGTCTCGGACCGGAATTGGTCCTCCTTGGTTTCATCATCCATTGGCATGGCCTCCGAATCGTTATTGCCGAACGAGGCGGAGCTACTGTCGGCCAGGAGCTGTTGGGGCGGCACGTTGCCGTTCTCGCTGGGCAGTTGGGTGGCGGCTCCAACGGCGTGTAGTGGTGGTTGTATTAGATTCTTGAATTTCGGCAGTTGTGGTGGTGAATTTTGTTGTTGTTGTTGTTGTTGTTGCTGCTGCTGTTGTTGTTGTTGCTGCTGTTGTTGTTGTTGCTGTTGGAGGTCACTGGTGATAATCTCGACCTCTTGAGTGTCCTGGGTATCCATTGCTTCGATCGACTGGTCTGTTTCTATTTCCATTTTACACGGCACTTGAATGGTGTCTAAACTGACTCGCCTTCGACTCCTTCTCCGCCTCCGTCTTCACCGTCGCCTTCGTCCTGCGTCCTTCGTCGTCCTGCCGCCTCGTTTGGGGTATACAGTTTGGGTGGGGGGTGGGGGGGTGCGATCACGGATCACGGTTATCGGTTATCGGCGTCGGCTGGGCGGCGCTATATATATATAGAAAAATAAATAAAAATAACAAAAATAAATAATAGAAGGGAAGGGAACAAAAACAAACAAAAAGAATGAAGGGAATTAAAAAGGAATGCGAAAGCGTTCTCTTCTTCTTCTTCTTCTTGCTATTCTTCTTCTGCAATTACAACAAATATGCACAATGATGACTGGGTGGAAAATTGTGTGACTCCTCCTCCTCCTTCTCTCATCTCCTCCTTTTGCGCTCTCATCTCCTCCTCTCCCTCGCATCCCTAATTCGGTTCTCTGTTTTATGCAATCTTTCTTGTGCCATCCAGAAGAAGAAGAAGCACAAGAAGAAGCAGCACATCGAAGAAGAGGAAGCACAAGCTTGAACATTAAATGCGCCGCTTTTGCTTCTGCTTCTTCTTCTGCATCTGGCCCCCTCTCCGCCCTCTCCACACGCACACTACATACATACATATGTATGTATTAGCAAATATACACGCACACTTTAAAGCTCACTCACATAGAGACACACACACTATACATTTTGCACGCGCACATGCAGTTTTTTCATCTTTTTTTTTCTTTCTATTTCTTTTTTTTTATTCACAAAAGCTTACCTTGTCAGTCCTGTCAAAAATATAAATAAATATCGCTTGCTGCTTGCTTGCCGCTACCGCTACTTCCGATTATTCGCTAACAATATGCCGTTGTTTTTGCAAAAAAAATATTCTTTTTCGGCTCTCGCGTACGTCTTACTTACTCTCTCAGTGTGTGTGTGTGTGTTTGTGTGCGTGTTTCTTCTTCTTTTTTTTGACGTTCTTAGCTTTTTTTATTTGCAAGTTTTTTGTGATATTTTTCTTTGCAATATTTTCAACCTACACTTCAATTTATGGCGTACTCGATTGCATCTGTAGAGGTGCGCTAGCGGCGTGTGGTGTTTTTTTTTTTTTTGTATTTTCGCCGTGTGTGTGTGTGTGTGTGTACTGTTGCTGTTGTTGCTTTTGCCTTTGCTGCCGTTTAATTTCTTATATTTTGTTGCTGTTGCTGGTGCTGGGGCTTTTTTGCTGTTGCCTTTGACTTTGCTAATGTTGTTGCCGATTTAGCTGTAGTTGTGTGCGTTGCACGTCGCTTCTTTAGTTGGTAGCAAAAATATCAGTTTTGCCGAAAACATAAATTTTGTCCAGCTTCGTAAACCTGTTGAAATATTTAAAAAACAAAACAGTTTTGACGTATTTTTCACACGGCACTGCACTGCGCGAAATGAGAACTTATTGGGGCTTTTATTTTCGTTTCAAATTCGATTTCGTTTGCTCTGTTTTCCTGTTTTGCAGTTCCTTTTGGTCAGTAGCAATGTGACCAGATTGTCACGAAACCAATTTAGACAAAACTATCGATACATGAAATGAAAACTATCAAAACTTTAATCGATAATCAAAATTATTATCGAAATCGGAGCAAGAAAATTAAGATTAAGAGGTTTAAGATTAAGATTTAAGATTAAGGTTTATTTAAGTTTAAGATTTTTAGCTATGGGTGTGAGTGAGAGGCAAATAGAGGTCCGTACTAAAAAAAAAAAATACCAGAAATTTAATCGGGGCTGCCAACCTGGACCAATGAACGTTTTATAGGTGCCTATCAAAAATTAACTGTTTGAGAGGGTCTTTTTACCGGCAATCCAGGTTTCTGTGAAAAGGTCTTGTTTAGCACCACATATTATATTTATTGAAGGATAAAGTTTATTAGGTGCAGAAACATTAAAATACCTTTTATGCGTCAAGCTGATCAATTATTGAAAGTTTGATTTTCGATTTTTTTCGACTAAGTTCCCCTAAACTAGTCCCTATCTAAAACTAGATGTTAAAAACGGATAACAGTTCTTTTTAAGTTCTGAATATACATATATAAAAATTAAAAGAATAAAGCCGTCATTTCAAGAGAAAACTGCAGAAATCAAAGAAATACAAAAAAATTTTGTAATAGTTAGAATAATTAAAATAACAATTAAAGAAATATTTAAATTTTAGGTTGATAAAAATTAATATTATAAAATCAATATTATTTTAAAAAATAATTTCCATAAAGCTAAAATACGTTCTTAAAAGGAACGGTAAATAAATACTAAATTTATATTTTATTTATTTCCTTTTTACTATTAATTTTGGGGGAAAAAAAATGTAGATTGTATTTTTTAATGGAAGACTTATTCCCGAGCGTTGTTTTTAGCCACCACACATTCTGGATAGCACTGTGCGGTTTTCACCACACCACAACTCACCAGTAACAGCTAGACACCATCGAGGCAATATCAATTTTCTTCAGCGCAGTTCTCGTCGAGCTTGTGTGGCTTGAGCATCACGCGGATTCAAGACCACCGACGAACATTGACCGAAAGTATTTTTTTTTGTATTTTTTTTTGGAATATGTTCGCCCTATACGTAAAAAAAAGATTAAACACAGTCACTTTTTATAATATTACAAATCTTAAAAAATATGAAAGCTGACCCAATCGTTCCTACGGCAGCGATTTGAAAAATTTTCATACTGGATCCAACTAAAAAAAAGTTATCCACTTGAAAAAAGCGAAATTTTTAAGACCACTACTGGAAGGAAAATTTCGGTAAATTGTTGGGTGTGGGCGCGCGCATTTCATGCATATGAATTGGCGTCTGCATGAAGTCTGGGAATGGCCAAACAACTGGCACCGATGGCATTGGTCCAGATAGTTTGGCGGAAGGGGTTCCACCGAGGCCTGCATCGTTCAGGGCAGCCACGGTAGAGGCTCACATGCCGACCCCCGCAATTATAGCATCGCGATGGGTCAGCACGGGCCTTCGAGCACGATGTTGGGCGGGCGCACTTCATGCAAACAAATGGTCGTCTGCATGAAGCAGAAGCAAATTTTTAAAACCACCACTGGAAGGAAAATTTCGGTAAATTGGTGATTTACACTAAAGTTTGCCAAGCCAAAAGAGTACAAACAAAAGTGCTGCGATGCTTGGCTTTAAAGTGACGAATTAAAATCTTGGCTACAATATTATAGACCGAGACCCGAGAGCCTATTGCATCTATTGCAACACAACAGTTGTGCGATTTGTGAGTCCACGCAGCAACTAAAAAACACTTGGCTTCAGAGCGACGAATTTAAGACATTTCAATCAACCCTTCATCGATATCACTGAAGACACGGAGATCCTATTGATGCTATTGCAAGACAACAGTGACTGAAAAACTGAGCGATTTTCAAACCCCAGCAGCAACAAAAAAGCACACTAAAAATTAAAAAAAAAAAACTGTTTCTATTGGGTTTTTTTTTTCTGAAAAAATGTATACGATTTAAGGTTAAAATATTATTTACTTGGTGGGAGGTAAAATATAATTTATTTAAATTAAATCTTTTTGTTCTTTTTATTTATTGGACCCAAGTTATTTTAAAAATTCTGCTGCAAGCGCGATGTGTTCTGCTGGCCTTCGCCTTTAGAACTGACTTCGAACTTCGAAGTGAGAAAGCGCCGGTATTTATTCCGAATTATTCATTGACTACAAAGCTACAAAGCTACAAACCTCTCTGCCTCTCTCTCTTGCCTCTTCTCTCAGTTCGTCGACTAGGGTTACCATGATACAATCATACTAGGTAGTCTCGTCGGAACAATCTGGTACCTCTACAATCATAGCATAATTTTTTTCATAATTTCATTTTTAACAATTTTGAGTTGGAAATGAGTCGTTGTTTTTGCTTTTGTGTTGCAAGTCTTTTTTTTTAACTCTTAATTCTAAAATATATTCTAATCTTGAAATACATATTTTTTATATCTTACTAATTTAAAAGATCGATGATTTTTACCATTTCTTACTACATAATAGAATAAGATATAATAAAAATGTAACATCACCCATTTTTAATAAAAATGTACTCTATTTTTATTATTTATTTTGATTTTTTATTCGATTTTTATTCGATTACTTGTTGTGTTGTTTTTTTTTGTAATTTTTTGTTTACTGTCGTAGATCTAGTTTCCCATTACATAGACCTTTGGTTGCGATAGGACACTTAGGTCGTTGTCCACCACATCCAGCTGCTGCTCGAGGATTATTTTGAGGTTCCGCACCCGCAGGGTTCCCATGGAAATGGGAAGTCTGTTGTACTCGGCAATCAGCTGGGCCTGCCGCTCCCGAGCCGCCTCCAGGAGCTCCAATCTCTGCTCCTCGGCCAACAGAATGAGGCCGCTGTTCTCTGCTTTTTGGTATTCCACCGAGTGCTGGACTTTCTGAACTTGTTCCGATTCCATGGAAAGATTTGCCTTAGTTTTCTGGGGAGTAGGCGGCGTGGACGAGGTGCTGGCTGGAACGTCCTGCTGCTGGGAGTCTACGCTTAGGGCGTCCTCCTGGTCCACCACATCCATCACTTCCGGAATGGCCATTTGCCGAACGCAGGGTGAGCTCTCTTTGGACGAGCGGGAGCACATGGAGACGGTGTCCTGGTCGGGTGGTGGCCTGCCCAGCTGATCCAGTGCGCCGGGCACAATGCCGAGCAGCCCGCCCAGCGGCCGGAGCAGTGTGTACTGTCCCGGCTGATAGGCGTCTCGCTGCTCTGGCATTCTGCCCAGCTCAAAGTTGGAGGCTGTGCGTCTAACGCGCAGTCCTGCCTCTGAACATCCGCCTCCGTCTGCGCCGCCTCCGCCCAAAGGCTCATCCCCCTCGCTGCGGGCCTGATGCTCCGCCGAGGAGCACTTGAGCAGGGCGGCGCTCAGGAAACGCTCATCGCTAATGTCCTCTGTCTGGATCTCCTTCTCCGAATAGCCGCGACGACTGATCCTCAGCCTGGAGCCGCCCATTAAGCGTCGCTGCGCCTCCGCCAGAAACAAGGGCGACGGGCCCGTCCTCCGTGCCAAGGAGGCAGCCGTGGGTAGCTCATAGTTGTGCGCCCGCAACGGCCACCGGTGCTCCTGATCCGCCTTCCATGCCTCCGACCCCCCCAGGATCATTCTCAGCGGCTGGCTCACCATCTGACGATTCTCGCGCAGAAAGTTCCGCGTCGAGCGGATCACAGGACTGGCCGTCGCCGCCAGGATGCACACTCGGTCTTGGCAAAAAATGGAAACAGGCAACAGAGAAAATAAATATTCGACAAAAAAATATAAAGAGTATTCTTGAACGGAAACGTGTAGCTGGCTACAAAATAGAACGGAAAATGGAAGGCTTCTCGATCCCGATCCTTATCAGGTTAGGGTTTACATTAGGGTTAAATAACGAAGGATAGCGATAACAAAGGTTCTATTCTACGAGTATCGGGTATAACATAGGTTAGACATCTGCATGAATGCCAAAAAAAAACCTACGTTTTTAGGAAAAACCTAATTCACTCTATTTTTAAAAAGGATAAAAAACGTTAAGCTTTAAGTTTTTAAGGAACATTGTTCTTCCTATTTTTCTAGACTTGGTGGCAACGCTGGAATATATCGATAACAAAAAGGGAGTTCTGCACAAAATAGGGAGAATACCGCTAACAAAATAGTGCACAAAGTGCACAAAATAGTAACAAAGTGCACAAGGTCCTTATAAAAACAATAATAACCTTATAAGTTTTCTAAATTATTAATCATTATTTTAATATTTATTACTTAAAATTTATTATATTTTTTAAAGCATACATGTATGCCCTCCTGGGACTTGAGCACCATTTGGGCCTGCAGCTTGAGAGGAGCCTGTGATGGACCCAGTTCCAGGTGGAATTCCCTGACGAGCCGGGCGGTAAGCAACTTCATCAGGAGCAGGGAGTACCTCCGGCCAATGCATACATGTGGACCACCCGAAAAGGGAATATAGCTAAAGGGTGGCGGCGGATCCACTTGTTCTAGCCATCTTTCCGGCTTGAAGGCATACGGATCCGGATAGTATTGCTTGTCATGGGCCAGTCCGTACATATTGATCCACAGAGTGACACCAGGACAGTAGCTACGACCTCCGATGATGGTGTTTTGGGTGGTCTGCCTGCCAGTGGTGGGCACTATGGTGTACAGGCGCAGGACCTCTTTAAGGAAAGCGTCCAGGTAGGGAAGCTCATTCATGGCATCAATGTTTTCCAATTCTGAGGCTTGGAGTTGCTGGATCTCCTCCCGGAGTTGAGTTTGGGCAAGAGGATGCTTCGCCAGAGCATATAGAACAAAGGACATGGAGGCAGTTGTTGTGTCCACGCCCTGGAAAGGATAAGGATTCATAAAAATAGAGGACTATCAGGAGGATCCTGCACCCACCGCAAACACAAATGTATTGACTTCGTCGCGGATTTCCTTGCGAGTCAGGGATTCTCCATTGAATCTGGCCAGCAGCAGAGTGTCCAGCAGATTATGGGCCTTGGCAGCAGTATCCTGAACTTCCTGTTCTAGGTCTTGAGCCCGTTGCTCAATCACAGAGTCCATTAGCGTGTGGATCACCTCCAGTTGCTCGCGAAGATCGCGCCAAAGCTGGGTGCGTCGAAAGATCCAATCGGAGGCCAGGAGGGGATTAATCATTCGCTTGAAGAGCAGCTCACTGCTGCGGTGGAAGGCGTGGACTACGGGTGAGTGATCCTGGGACTGGGTCTTTAGCTGGGCACCCATCGAGGTGTCTAAAAGTGTCAAGACATTGAGAGAAATCTTGTTATTTGTAGGAAAATACTACTCACCCACAATGGCATCCAGGAGACAGGCAAAGAGCGGATCCGTGACCTCCAGACTGGCACCCTTAGTGGCCTCCAGCTTAAGGATCAATGCATCAACATGACGCGCCACCGCTGGAGCAAAACCACGAAGAATATTCGGTAGAAAGGCCGGAGCCATGAGGCGACGCTGTCGAGTCCACTGGGCGCCGTGGCTGATGAGAAGGCCGTTTCCGATCAGAGGCTCCAGCTGGAGGAAGGTCTCCGCTTTGCGCAGCGTCGGATCATGAAGGGCCTGGCGCGTCTCCTCCGCCGTGTGGAGGAACACCCACAGCTGGGGTCCCAGCCAGAGGCGATAAGTGGCACCGAATCGATCTCGCAGCTCTGTAAAGACCAAGAAGATAACTGCCAGCTGGTTGGGTGATGATGGATTCCCCCCTCCGGGCTACACTACTCACATTCCGGCTTTAGCTTGCCCACCATCTGGGCGTTGCCCAAAAGCGGAAAGGCCCAGGGTCCAGCGAGGCTCATGCCCAGGCGGAGCAGCGGCCACTTGCGGATGAGAAGCCACAAGCCCAGGGTGATTAGCACCAGTGGCCACAGCGCCATGTCGTTGCCGTTCTCGTCGAGAGACTCCAGACGACTGGTCGGTGCAGTAACCGGACTGATCCAACCTGATTGGAAGCTAATCTTCGATCGTTGGATCGTTAACCCTTTAAGGGCACTGGCAAAGTGGGTCAGTAGTAGTAGAGGGTCTTAACTCTTTAAGAGTTAACTTTAGAGGGATATATACATATATAAACTTTAACTTTTATAGCTTGACTTTAATGTAATTTATTTTTAAGCTTGACTTTATATAAATTGTTATAATAGATGTATTTTAAAAGATAATATAAGACTATAAGACCTTATGTAAGATATAATGTAAGATTATAGATTCTATACGATAAATATTATTATATATATTTCTAAAAATATTATAAAAACTCAAAAAAAAACTAAAAAATAAATATTTACTACGTTTTTTAAGGACAAATCTAATAAATGAATTAAAAGATACAAATTTTTATCTTGTAGGGTTACTATACTGAGAAGAGTCACTACTCTAATAACTCCTCATTTATAAATACCCTATCTCAATATTTTCTGAAAGAGTTAGTTATTCTTGTATATAATATATTTTTATTAAATTGCATAATACTTATATTTTAAAAGTAAGTAAGTAATAAAAGTAACAAGCTTACTTACCAAGCTTATTATGGTTACAAATTGTATCTATTATAGGGTCAAGTTTATAGTATTTTCAAGAGTTAGATATATCTATTTATATATTTTGTTAAATTTAATAAAACAGTATATAAAGTATATAATATTTTAGATAGAACAAATGTCAATCTTATAGGGTTAATAACTCTCCATCTATTATAACAATAAACTCGTAGTTTCTTCGAGAGAGACCCGATTCGATAAGAATATTAGATTTCATTCAGACAGACATACATATGTCTGAGAATATGCACTCGATTTATTATTCGGATTATCAAATGCCGCCGATTAGTCTTTGTTTGGCTCATTCCGCCGATCCGTTTCCAATATCTAATCTATATTATAAACCCACTTGACGACTATTGAACTGAAATGCACTTGTGCAGTCTTCTCAAGGGGATTCTACAAATATATATTATTTATAGTCTGATTTGCTTACCGATTTTGATTGAAAATGACTTTTCTTTCACTGTTTTCTCATTATTTATGACATTATTCAACCGATTTGGAAATAGTGTACATTTTTTGAATGAATGTCCTGATCCTGATCACCTTTGATTTTTAAATAAATAAGGGTAAATAAGATTTATAAATATAGATATTATAATTTTTAAAAAATTAGTTTAATTGTATTTTGCGCTTAAATGTATTGGATATTTTAGTATTCGAAGTTCTAAGATCAGGAAAGTATAATATTTATAGATATCTCATCTCGAAAATTACAACAAAAGTTTAGCATTCTTTGATATTTCTAGGAACTTTTCTTCACTGTTAGGACTATATCTTAACCATTTATCAACCGATCTATAAATACCCTTCTTAAATCAGGGCTTAGGTTCTCTTTGGTCTTAAACGCAGATGGAATGTCTGATATATGTCAGAATGTCTTAAATTTGATAGATTTTTTTTTGGAAAAAAGATTTGTTTCACCTTTTTTAGGGCCAGATTTATGTTAAAAAAATGATAGTACCGAAAGTGCCAAGATCGGAAAGGTTTAACAGTTACCCAAGGTATGGTTTAGAATTACCCAAGGTATGGATAGTGGAGCTGAAACAAAATGCATTTGGTAGGGTTAGGACTTAAGGATGGCTATTTATCTAAAGTAGATACTTCACACATTCTTTAGGAAAAACTTTAACCAATATTAAGTTTATTTTTGTTAAATTTTTTTAGATTTAAAGAAGAGGACATTAAAATGATAGGGTAGAGTCCATTGTAGTTAGAAAACTATACCCTAATAATAATAAGAGGACCATACTAGACATATGTCCGACAAATTTTAAGACATTCATTCTATAAGGAACTTCAAGCGTATTATTAAGGCACTTCAGTATCGGAAGGACTAATAATATAAATAAGTTTTAGTTAATTTAATGTGAAATTGTGAAAATATGGCCCAGCAAATAAGGGAAGTCTAATAGTTAGTTTGAAGTCTAATAGGACACCATTAGAATCATTAACCTGAGTTGATCTATCTTAGGCGATTCCCTAGAGAATAAAAAAAGAAAGGTATTAAGTTTTAGGTCATTAGCTTAATTCATATTATTATCATTACTTTCATTACTTTAGTCCCAAAATTGTATGCCTTTTTTAAATCATTTAAGCCATTAATAATATACTTTAAAATAAATCCATTGCGTTGGCTTGGTAAACCGTTTTATTTATTTTGTTTTAATAAAATTTATTCAGACCATTCCGCTTGATCCACCCCCCTTTCCCTCCAATATCCAGGCAATTAATAAATACGTTTTTTTTTATGTTTTCGTCACAAATAGTAGACAAATAATTGCCAGTCTCTATTTTTTTTTGGGGGGCCAGTTGACAATTGTCGGCCCAGACGAGCGGTTCGTTAGCTTCTCGCCAGTTACTGCCACTGCCACGCCCACATAACCAAGACGCCCCACCACCGCCCACTATCGAAACATAGCCAACTGACTACAAAGCACCGCATTAGGCCGAAATAGGAGACACTTGTTGAGCCATGCACTTGGTGGTGGCACTGTGGGTGTGCGGAGCTCTGCTGGTGGTGCTGCTCGGTTTCCAGCAGCGGAAGTGCTGGCGGCTCATCTGGCAGCTGAACGGGTGGCGGGGGGTGGTGCAACAGCCCCTCCTATGGTTCCTGCTCTGCATCAACCTGCATCCAGACAGTTGAGTTTTATGGAGAATTTTTTACAAATTAAAAAAAAATATTGAAAAAGTGATAAAAATATAAGAAAAAGTGAAAGATTGAAAATAAAATATTAAAAACACTATTTCCAGTAATATTTAAACCCTATAACCATTAATAAAAATCTATTATAATTTTAAATAAAATATTTCTAGGCATCCTGGAACGCGTGACCCAACTGCGTATATATTTCCAACGTCCTTTGGGCATTATCCTGGGCACTCGAGTCCTGGTCTACATCGATGATCCGGCGGACATGGAAACCATACTGAATGCTCCCGAATGTCTGGATAAGTCCTTCCTTCAAGATGGTTTCTTTGCCAATCGAGGACTATTACATGCCAAGGGTATAATAATATTATCAAATATTTTAAAATTTATTAAATAAATATTTTATTTAAGGTCAACGTTGGAAATTGCGTCGGAAGCAGTTGAATCCGGCTTTTGGCCACAATATCGTGGCCAGTTTCTTTGATGTTTTCAATTCCGTCGGCAACCAGATGATTGAAAAATTCAAATTGGATCCGAATTTGCACGGAAAGGGTATCAAGTATACGGATGCCGAGGATCTACTGAGTAGGGCTGTCCTGGAGGTCTCCTGTAGTGAGTAATAATATTTATTTTTATATTTTTTTTATATTTTTATAATCATTGCATTTAATCCAATGTCTGTAAAATCCAAATCCATTGCGGAATCGGAGAAACGCAGCCACTGCCCCTGCCCTTCGCGGGTCGACACGTTCCCCCCGTTTCCATGCACCTCACGTACGCGGAATCCCCTCTTCAAAGCCCCCTTCATATGGGCTCAACCCACCGCCTATGGTTACTCGGGTTATTTCCCGCAAATTATTATCGTTTGGCTAACAAATATTTCATTCAAAAATGAGGAAACAATTAGTGGATTTTTAGAGAGGCTAACTACAAAAATGATACATACTTAGTTACTTAATATAATTCAATTTAAAGATTAAAATCTACAAAGATAAAGTTATGAGAAATTTAAAAATTATTAGAACTCGGAGAATATGAACAAACAGGTCAAAACATGGTGTGTTTATAAATGTTAGATAGGTGACCTAATTAATTAATATGTATCTTAAATCTATTTATTTTTCAATAATATTTTTAAAGAAGCTACTTTAATTTTGCTTAAATAATTTATTGAGTTCGATTTCTTTGCATCATTTTAAAATTTAAATGGTGTATACACATTCATAGGAGCTTAAAAACTTATTTGTATAATTGCTTTCAAAAAGTATTCTTTTTTAGAAGTATTTTTGGTATACCATTTTCAGTTCTTTAAATATTTATTACATATTTATTTTTCAAAATTTTATTTTAGTGACTATTATGGGAACTCAAACCAATTTCACGGAAATAGATGACGATCACATCGCCCACAGCTATAAGAGGTAAGTAGTACTTCTATTCCATCCAAAAATATTAAAAAAAAAATTTTTTAATTTAGGCTAGACTATTTATAAATATGTAATAATAACTACTTTAAAATTAAGGGAAATAACACTATGATTTCAGAAGTATAATAGGACTTTTAAACAGGGTCTTTACAAGAAAGGGAAGCCGAACTATTTTCAGGTTTATCGAATATAGGGTACTTCTCAATTATATTAATAGAAGTATATGTATTACTATATTACTATATTTTCTGTAATTTATTACTATATTTTATCTATAAAACTAAATAATCTATTCATTATCTAAAACAACCCAATTCAAAAAAATATCAATTCCATTCCAGACTCCTTGAGATATCGGCTGTGAGGGTCGTGAAGCCCTGGCTTCAGATTGGAATGCTGCAACGTCTCCTGGCCCCCGATCTCTATGCAGAATCCCAGAAATGCAACAAACTGCTGGAGGACTTTGTCGGGGACATTGTGCGGAACAAGCACCGGAACTGGAGGCTGCGGGAGACCACTGGAGAGGATGGCCCGTCGGCAGGGGGCTGGCAGCGACGCATATTCATCGAACAAATCTTCCAGCTGGCGGCCAACGGCGAGATGACGCTCGAGGAGATCATGGACGAGGCTCAGTCCATGGTCCTGGTTTCCTTCGAAACGGTGTCTAATAGTATCATGCTGGCTCTCCTCTGTCTGGCCACAAATCGTGGAGATTGCCGGCAGCGGCTGAAGGCCGAGATTGCCGCCGTAGTTCCGGAGAACGGAACTGGTTACGTCGGGTTGGAGCAACTGCAGCAATTGCGTTACCTGGACGCCTTTGTTAGCGAATCCCTGCGCCTACTCGCCACCGTTCCCATGAATCTGCGTCACGTCAGCCGCGACTTTCAGCTACCCGGCAGGGAGGCCATCGTGCCCCAGAACAGCATCGTGGTCCTGGACACCTTTAATATGCAGCGGGACGAACGCTGGTGGGGCACCACGGCCAGGCAGTTTGATCCTCAGCGTTTCCTGGACCAGGAGCAGGACCAGGACGAGCCATCGAAACAGCAGCAACAGGATCAGAATCAAACCAAAAAGGATCATCTAACTAGACGGCATTCCTACAGCTTCCTGCCCTTCTCCAAAGGTCTGAGATCTTGCATAGGTGAGTTTGGGGTTTTTTAGTTAGTATACAGGCTATATGTAATATAGTTGACCGATCTTTATAGGTCTTTCTGTATTTGTTTTAAAAAAGATATGCAATGATAGCAATATATCGGTTATTTTGGACAGATATTTGAAAACTTAGTTCCTTTTATGAATCAGGGCTTTAATTTCTATCGATTATTATTAAATAAACGCATTTAATCGGTCCTGGAGAACAAATCCTGAGAAAATCTTGGTTAAAAATGTTAGAATTTGGTTTAATATAATAGAATTAGAAGTTCTTCGATTAAGACAGTATAAGTTTTAGGATCTAGGAAGATTTAGGACGAATAAAATATTAAAATATAATATACAATATAGAAACTATAATATATAATTCCTTTTATAAAATCTACTAGTTAAATCTATTTAATAAAAAGTTTTATAGCTTATATTATTTAATTTCTATATAGATTTCGAAAACTTTAAATATTCTATATCTCTTTTCAGGTCGTCGCTATGGCTTATTTATAATGAAAGTCTTCCTGGTCAAGTTGCTTTCAAGTTTCGATTTTCATAGCGATTTTCAGCTGGAAAATCTACAGTTTGTGGAGAATATATCCTTAAAATTTAGGAATGTGGATGACATCTATCTGGACATTCAGCCGCACAGTTTGTCCAAGGATTCCAATTAGTGTAGTGATATACTCATATATATTTTGTACAATTTTTTTTTTATATATTTTAAAAATTAATTTTAATATGTAAAATAAGAAGGTGTTTTTTATACAATGTAGAATCAATAAAAATTCCCTCTAATAATAAAAAAGTCCTTTGGGATTTACCCTACTATTTGAATTCTTGGAAGCTGAGGGTTTTGAGAAGTTTATTTAAAAGCTTTAGTGGAGCTTTCAACCTTTGAAAGTTGAATAATAGGAGGCGTTCTTAAAAGCTTAAAATCTTAAGCTTAAACGTATTTCGATAAGAAATATGAATGTCTTATGGTCATGTTCTTAAAACTTTTATTTTCTTAATTTCTTTCTACTTTTCTTTCATAAAATAGAATGGAATGAAAGTTCACAAACATCTTGATTTTTTACAATTAAATTTTTAATTTAATAAAGACAAATAATACATATTAAAAAGCTACAAAATCATTAAATAGTAGACTAATTTTTTTCTGAAAGTAACCCTATTTTCTAAAAGTAATATTGAACTTTGGCTTTCAAAAACCTTTGAGCGAAAACCACATTTGTACATATTAAAAAAAAAGTACCCCTATTAGAAGAAAATTATCGCAAAGGCAGATATTTGCGCTCAATTGAGTTTTCGAATCTCCCGTCGGCTTAAGGTTGAGTCCTTGAAGGACCTGAAGTTGCCAAAGGATCAAAGGAGTTCCATTTCGTGGACTGGCGCCTGAAGTGGGGAATCTTGAAACTGAAATACAGAAAACATGGGAACTGCATCTGTCACGGGATGCGACAAATGTCGAGCAATGCTATGAGCTAATGTGAAAGGACACGGACGTGGAGCAAGGACACTGCCGTATGATAATATGCCACAACTGTCAGCAATATTTCCGCTCCGCTCTCGTCCCTCCCCGTCGCACAGTGCCTCATTTTGCTCTATTTTATCCACTTTTCACTCCACTGTGCCGGGCACATATCATTGTCAGCTCGAGTCCTGTTGACTTGTCTGAAGAGTCCGGAGAGCGTCCAAAATGTTGGCATCGTCTTAGCAGCTAAACGACAACAGCAGCCGTGCAAATTGCAACACAACTCAGCCAAGTGGCATCATTACTATAACCTGCTCTACACTGAACGAAAAAAATCATTTTGGAGTATCATCTTGTTAGTTTACCAATTATTTTTTGGGGGATTTCTTCAAGATAGAAATCACTGAAAGAAAAGGATTTCAGCTTTTCGCAAGGTAAAACAGATTATGGCGACCGTGACTATACTACTTTGTTGAGTTAAGTCTGTGGCTCGATGGACCAAATGATTGTTCTTGAAGACTTTAATTAATAAATTACTTTATTTGTAAGAAGTTTTAGAAATATATATAAATGCGAGTAGAGTACTCCAATACTTTGTTGACTCGAGTATCTGGCTCGAACGATCAAAATACAACTTTTATCTAAAAATATTATCTAAAATTTCGTACACTGTGCGATTTTTGGCTTGCGATTCGTTTTACCTTTACCATTTCTTGCCAGGCAAATGACGCCGTTAACACAGTCATTAGTTGAAGGTAACCCAGAGAGCGGGGAATGGGGAGTACGAGGGCAGGATTCAGGATTCGGGCCAAACCGTCAGGATATCTGGCTCCTTGCATCTCGCCTGTTGTTGGTGTGGTTGTTGGCATTAACTTGACACTTTCTCCCCCCCAATTGCCGTGAGTGGAATGCATTCCGTGTCCGTGTGTCCGTACGTCCTTTTCTCCATGGGTTAGGGTTACAGTGTGTGTGTTTCGCAGGATGTGTGGGGAAATTTATAACTGGAAAAGGCACTTGAAACACATTCGCATGGAAATTGTCGACTTTCGCCGCCCTCGAGCCGTCTTCTCACCCACATTCACATATTTACGTTGATTGATGTGTCGGCACAAAATCGCCGCAGATAAAATATATGCTTGGCACAAAAAAAAAAGGACAATACAGACAATGCAGAAGTCTTAATTATTTAGACTGACTCTCAGTACTCCAAAAGGATTTTAAATATATGAAATATGGTCTTTTATTCATTTAAATGCTTGCAAAATATTACAAGCAATTATTTAAAATAATTTAAATTTTTTTGGGTAGATTTTTTTCCAGAGATATTCCAGAGACTCCACTCCATCACGCGCATATCCCAGAGAATATAAATATATATCCGGATAGATACAATAGATATAGTGAGCCCATGGCCATGGCACCTAAAATGCAAATCGTGCTGAATTGCATTTTTCAGCAAAAATGCTTGAAGAGCGTTGGGGAGTCCAGAGTTGGTAACTGGTAACTGGGATCTGACCATGGCCATAACCGGAGATTTTGTCCTGCGCCAGGCGTTGATAAATGTGTGTAGAGTGTCCTGGCAAGCATGGTGCATGAACAGTAGCTGGGAAAGGACCCTGACCAGTGTCAGTGCCACTGATGCCGTTAAGTGCGACTGAAAATCCACTGAGCCGCATAAAACGAAAGCGTGAAAATGCCAGCGGCCTGCTAATAGAGGAGCTGCTCCTGCTCCAGCTCCTACTGCTGCCGGTGTCGTCCCTCTTATCCTGTCCCCTAGCCAACAAAAAAGAAAAAAAAAAGGATAACCAACCACCATCCAAACCAAACAGGACATCCACAGGCTTGACATCCGCATGCAACCGAAAAAGCATCAGGAGGCATTCACATTCCACGGCTGGGCCGGGCATTTTTCGATCATTTTTCTTAGTTTTTGTTCGCCGCTTCGGTTTCTTCGGTGGCAACGTTGTTGACAATTTGTCGACGTGTCAGAAGAGTCAACGTGAATGTGACAAGTGACGCTGACGAGACAGCCAACGCCGCCACCGACGCCGACGCCGACACCAACGCCGATGCGGATGCCACCGACGCCGACCCCATCTTCACACCCATTTGACAGTTCCAGTTCCACATTTCCGGTGGGCCAGGTCCTTGTTCGGGAGCACAATACTGTATATAGGGCTATAGGCTTTTTAATATAAATTATTTATTAGTTTAATTAATTATTCTTAGAAATTTTAAGAGTCAGATACCAAAAATAGTGCTATGAGACTTATAATGATACTCGGTACTTGGCTCTAGGTTTTTGATATAAAATAAATCTCTTTCAAGGGTTAAACAAATTTTTATACCCAGAACTTAAAAAGAATGTTTAATATAGATTGCTTTTAAGAAATAGAACAACAGTTTCCTAAAATAATGCATATTATGAGAAATAGCACCTAGAACTCCAAAAAATAATTGTATTTATAAATTTTAGGCCAAAGAGCCATGGGTTTTCTTATAAAATAAGTTATTTTCAAAGATTTATAAATATGAGTCTTTCTACCAGGAATTGAAAAATAATTTATAAATAATAGATCTATTTATAACATTTAAGAGAAAGAAAAGTATTATAATTGATGATCCGGGCTTGTAGCTTTTAAACTAGTGGTTTAAGCTTATAGTTCCTAAGATACATATAAATGGGTCATATTTCGGATTAATAAAGTCTATTTATTATTACTATCTTTGATCATGATAGTTCTTAAAAAAACTCTCTTTCAAAAATTTATAGAGATAAATTAAAATTCTACATAAAATTATCCAATTTGAAGAAGATTCTAGGTTCGTTGTGGCCAGATCCTGCGTAGCCGAAAAATTAATTTTTACCCAAGTGGGTGGCGTGACAGACGGTATGGTCACAACTCGACATTTGGACATAAACGGCATAATTGATATATATACGGAGTCCTGCGTGTAGCCTGCCGTGGGTGGGTGGATGTGGATAAAGCTCATCAAGTGCTAACAGCAGAGGCCAGTCGGCCAGGCTCCGCCACGGTCCTCTTGTCACTAATTACATGCATGTCAATTTTTCGCTCATCATTGCATTGCCACATTGGGCTCCGGGATTGGAGGGGATTTTTTTTTCGGCCTGTACGGGGTCTGTGGGGGCTTCCATAGGGTGGATGTTCCTGTGGGGCTGGGACGATCCTGGACTGGGACCAGCTGCAAAAACCAAACATATTTGGACAGTTTGTGGGCGGATAGCGGTCGTGGTGATGTCCTTTCCCCAACACTTTTGGTCCTTCGTCCTGTTTTAATGCGTGTGCATATATTTTTGTGCATTTTTCGGCATTTTTCCTACAAGAGGCAATTGACTTTTTTATTTTAGTTGATTTTTTATTTGAAATACAATTATTTTCAATATTTCAATAAATGGGAAATGTAATAAAATCGTTAGTAAGTGATGGGGTTTACTTTTATATTTAATGCTAGTAATAATTTTGTTTTAAATTATTTATTTTAAATATGTAAGTGATACTTTTTTTGTACTTTAGAAACTTATATTTTTAGATTTTACGTAGAAAAGTCTGAGTAGTAACGGGTATCTTATAGTCTAAAAGTTTTCTTAGAAATTTTATCTTAATACCAAGTAAACTAATTATAAAAAATAAAGTGTAAAATATTTGTACAATTTTTATAGACCATTTATCATGTCGACTTGCCTTTGGTTGGCTTTTTATTCAATTTTTCATTATTTGCTGACAGCTGTCGGTAAATGGAATTGTTTATTACCTGTCGTCTGCCCCTGTTCGCTTCCCTGTCCATGTCCATGTCCTGGCCGCTGTGTCCTGCTTCCACCTGATGCACCACCTGTTAATACATATATATATATATATATGGAGATATATAGCCGATCCGTGGCAGGGTGATTATCATAACGTTTGGGGTCCAAAAATCCGACAACGTTCCGTCGACAGTTCCATCAACTGCCAAACTGAAATTCTGACAGGCTTTGGTTTTGAAAACAAAACGCATTTGTGGAGCAAACAACCTGGCCGGCCTCTGATAATGATAATGATGGATGTGTGTGTCCAAAAATCAGGAGTTAAAAGCACCGGCAAAGGCCTGCAATGGGTTAACTTCCCCCAAGGGGTTAACTCTCTGGTTTATGCAGCAAAAATGGGGGATTACTGTGCGAGCAGAAAGGGATTTTACATT